TGTTAATGGGCAACACCCCCACCCGAAATGTTACATCTAAGCTCTCAATGGGGGACATCTTTTCATTTCAAACTAAATATTCCTTTGCAGTATACAAAATATCTAATCATGTATTTATCCATAAAGTACTAGCAAAAGTCAACATAATTATTCAAGTGCCATTATGTTTAATTTGCAGCAAATTATGCATTTAGCTTTAAGTCAAGGCTGCTAGGATGGTTAAAGTGAAGATAAAGCTTTCTGCTATTTATAAAAGTGGATTTTAGCAGAGATATAATGTATAAATGGAATTAATTTGAGATTTAGCACAGAGACAGCAATCCTAAGGAAAAAATGAAAGCACAGCATGATCTTATCCATGCGTACTGGGAAGGAACCTATTAAGTTCTGATGGAACAATGCAATCCTACATATACGTATTTAGACATAAGCCCAAATGATTTCTATGAGACTTGTTCTCAGGTAAACGTGCACAGGATGCCAGCCTCATTCTCAAATAAATGCACTTAGGGTAGCAATCATGCGACCAGTGCCTATGCATGCCAACACGGAAGGAAATCTTGCTAGCTTCAGTGAGGGCTACTCTCAAGTACCTGAGCAGGTGGGATTGCAGCTATTAAGGAAACATTGTGGTATGTCTACTAAGAACTAAATCCCCACTGGGTTCAGTGAGGACTCATTCCCTAGCAAGGATTTCATGGGGTTGCAACGTCACTTTGCTGTGGCTCTCGGAATCTGGTACCTTCTGCAGATGTTTGGGACTACAGCTTCCACCATCCCTGTCCATTGGCCCTGACTGATGCTGGTCGAGAAGTACAGCTTCTCCAGCCCTGCTTTGTACAAATAATTGTCCTTATTATTTCAATCCCCTCTCATGGAGAGATGGATAGAAGATAGCTGTGTCTTTTCTCCCATGCATAGGAGCACTCTACAACAGGAGAAAGTGCGTGAAGCCTGATTGCTCCTCAGATCTGGAGGTGAGCCAGAATGTGTCTTCTCCCTTCTTCGGATGCCAGCACCTGTAGGGATTCAGCCCTCAATTACGATATTATGGGGCAGGATGGAAACGCCATTCCTTTTCAACTCAGGCACAAAAAGAACAACAGCCATAATTACATTCCACTGTAAACAGAGCTCTGGAGTTTAATTTGCATTATTCTCTTTTTTATTATTTATTGGCAACATTTAATTACCGCATCCTTCACCAACCGTAATTAAAGATTGAAAAGAGGCTTGACAACTCAATTAGGGTCTTTTAAAAGTTTTATTTTGGTGTGTGCCTCCATTAAATTAAGGTTCAACTTTTACTGGAAGTCTTTAATATCACAACACATTAAACTGAAGGCTTGCTTTGTTATGAATAAATCACCCCAGACAAAAGCTGGCAAGCTCTTGCTTTTGAGTCCATGGTCACAATGCAATTTTATTTCCCAGCCATGCAAAGAATAAAAGAGACTTCCTCTTTCTCTTCCTCCTCCCTCTCCTTCCATCACCACTGTGCTTTGATGCTAAGGAATACTCCTTTCCCAACAATGCACTTAGCTTACAAGGGCTTTTTGTGTGTTTGGATGGGTTTTCTGGTTAAGTTCATAAACCTGTCCAGACTTCACCTTGGCTTTGCAAAGCCACACCCATTCATTCAACAGTACATACACATTGGTGCAGCTTTACGGATTGCCCAGCACTACCAGTCAAAGCAACCTACTCTGTACCAGGGGGATGGAAGAACCAGGGACACTCGAGCATCAACATTCAGCAAAGTCCACCTTGAAGCCCCTCTTCCTGTACTTCCATTTCCACTTGCAACCTGCTTTTGTTTGATTGTTGGTTGGCTACATTGGAATGGAAAGTGCACACTCTACACCAACAGACTAATTCTGGATCCTGCTGTTCAGACCAAAAACCAGCACAATGTTGGGTGAGATTGCCCAGTTTATGCCCGGACCATGGTGTGAGGTTAAGGAAAAGCCTTTCCCAGTGCATCCCTCCAGAATCCACCGATTTGCTCTCGTACTCAGCCAACTCATGCAAACAAGCTCAGCCAAGAAGATGTCCACAAATGCTCGTGGCCCCCCAGTTGCACAACTGGCAACCTTCCCATTCTGGGTGGTCAAACTTCTTCCCACTCACTGCTGCCAACAGCAGTAATGGATGTGAAAGACCGGCACTGGTTGTACAGGGTGTAGGGGCCTCAATTCCTAGGGAGCATTCTGTGACCCCTGGGACCACTCACCAGGAATTCAGACTCGAGTTTGGAATGCCACAACCAGGGAATCCAGAGGATTTTCTGCCCAGCATGGACTCTTCACCATCCCTACATGGTATTTCTGCTTTGAAAGATGGAATATGTATGGGATGCCCCAGATTTTGAGGAATATGGTTGTGGTCCAAAAGTCTCTGAAGGCCACCAGTTTGGGGAAGGCAGTTCTACATGGAAGCCCCTCAGATATTTGAAGATGGCATTTGTGTCTCCCTTAATCTTCTCTGGGCTAAGTACGGAGAATGTGATGTTCAGACCTATCACCATCCTGTTCATCATCCTTTGGATGTGCACTAGTTCTTCAATGTCCTTCTTAATGGCGCCCAAAACTCAGGTTCAGGAACTCAGCCTTAGGGCTCTGACAAAGAAGATCAGAGTTCAGGGAGCTCAGCCCAAGGAGTCCAATGGATTATCATATGAGTTAGACCCAGATTTACACTAGATCAGCTGCACTAAACAAACTGGACTTCCCCTCCTGCTCCCAACCATAGCAGCCCTACAAAAGCTGGAAAGATACTAGAATCTGGGATTACTGATTTGATGAAATTGACTGACACTGAGCTGGAGACTGTAACATTAAAATGGAAAGATGGAGTCACTCCTTGATTCTGGTGGCCAGAAACAGGACGGAGCACCAACAAATGCATCTTGCCATGCAAACTATAGAATCATAGAGTAGTAGAGTTGGAAGGGGCCAGTAAGGTCATCAAGTCCAACCCTTGTGCAGTGCAGGACTCCAAGTTAAACCATCCCTCTCAGATGAATGTTCTGAGGGATGTTCTCAGAATGAATGTCCATCTGAATGTTCTGTTTGCAACATTCCCTCTTCTGCACAACTCCTAACAGGAGCCCTGTCCTCTTTTGTGTGTGGCCACCCTAGAACGTGACTTCACACACACACACACACACACACACACACACACACACAGCCACTCTGTACATTAGCACCATACAGGTCGCCCAACCTGAGCCACCAGTGACCATAGTTAAAATTTGATGCATGGGATTTACAAAATATTCTGCCCCTCCAGAGGCTGATTTTCATATAAATTCCCAGGAAGGAAAACACTTTTAGGAATGGACTGACTTTATTGAAGGCATTCGCATGTTCATACAAAATGTGTTTCTCCAGTGGGATGAATGCAGCAGCCCAGAACTTTTACTCTGATTACCAGGAGTCCACACACAGTGTTAAAGCTTCCACGTATCAACATCACAGCCAGGTGTGGAGAGACAGAGCAGGCTGGACTGTGAAATGTTCTTTCCAGCCAAGTATCCAATGCATGATGGAAAGGAAGGAAGGGCAATATCAAAAGAGGCAAATGAGGTCATGATATCCTCCTACCTTCGATGCAACGGTTCACGTATTTCAGCCCTAAAACAAACCATGGTTGTTTTGCTTGTTTGTTTTCCATAATACAGCTCATCCAAGATGGGAATTTCTAGTATCTCTTTACAAAGACCAGATGCCTGCTGTCAACATACTTACCTGAAAGTGAGCCCCACAGAGCACAGTGGGAACTACCTCTGAGTAAGCAAGCAATAGGTTGCAGCTAACTTCCTTTATGCAAAATAGCCAAAGGAAGGATCTCTCAAATCATCTCTAAGCCATGCATAGTTACAAGGATTGCCATGTTTAAACCCAGCCACAGTCAGACCAGTGAGTCTTTGTTTTGCTCAGTGTGGTCTCCTCCAGGTGACTTCAGTTCCCATCTATCCCTGTGGAATGGTCAGGGATGATGCGAGTTGAACTTCAACCATATCTGGGAAGCCACAGGTTGCCCAGCCCAGAGTTGCATTAATCAGCTCACAATATTTTGGTAAGCTAGGGGTGGTCCTGACCCATTGGGCAGCAGAATCTTAAAGGAGGCATTTTCACCGGCACGGAAGAAAAGGAGCAATGCCTCTTCCTGAAACACATGCATGCAAAATTTAAGGGTGGTTTCTTTCCTTTAGCACTATTGACTCTTTAATTTGCAAATTGACTTAAATCACCCAATTGAGGGAGTGATGCTTGGATCCCCAGACAGCATCCAGGGGACTAGAGAATACCGTAGCTTCCCAGCACTGAGATCCAACCTCACTCCCTTGCAGCTGCCACAGAAAAAAACTGCTGCTCTCTGAGACTAGAAAAATAACATGGAGGGGAGTGATTTGAACGTGAGCATTTTGGGGGAAGCGGAAGTTAGAACACAAGCTACCCTGAGGGTGCAGTAGCCTTCCCTCTCTGAAACTCTCTGCCTAGACAGCCAATATAAACCCATCTAGAGAAAATGCAGAGTGGACAGACAGCAAGGCAAAGATCACCTCTACAATTTTTCCTGCTCTAAATTGCATGTTTGCAAGTCTCCAAGTTTGGGAGTTAAAAGTACCCCAATGGGGTTACAGGCTCATGCCTCCGATTGCCTAAGATCCCTTTAAGCTGCTGACAAGAGACAAGTCTTGCAGGTTACACAGGTTGGGATACCTGCAAGGTATTCCTGCAAGGAACGTATCATACCTACATTCCAATGAAAGAAATGTGGTATGAGTGGGCGTTTCATTTGGATGGGCTTTAACGCCTGAGGTTTTCAATCCAAGGAAAATCCATATAGCAGAACATGTGTGCTTAGAGCAGGAATGGGGAACTTATGGTCTTCCAGATCCCAGCGTTCCTAACCACTGGCCATGCTGGCTGGGGCAGATGGGATCTGGATTCCAACCACATCTGGAGGATCACATCTCCCTCCCTCTCCTTCAGAGTTTAGATACAATTTCTCTATGGGCTGCACTAGTCAAGAATGAAGCCAATAGATCCCACCCACCTTCCTTCAATGTTCTGGTTGCTGTGTGTCCTGCAGCATCCTAAACATTCAATGGGCAAGGTGACGAATCCTGAGCAACATTCCAATAATCTTTAGAGGGTCAGAAGAAACTCTCCTGGTGGCTGAGTGACTTCACATATCACTTCTCTACTTAGCAATTCCGTACTTCAGGCCTTCTGCCTTCTGAATTCAAATCCTGCACCAAGAAAAGCTGAATTCTGCAACCAATATAGATGATTTAAGTTGACAAGATCTGTATAATGTCTGTTATTTGGCAGGATTCTGACATTTTTACAATTTCATATTATTTCTTCTGCTTTTCATAGACATATGAAGGAACAAGGTGTTATGCACAGCATGGGAATCCCAATTCCAGCCTCTGGAAATTTCATTCAGTCCATCTTTCAGCTTCCAAGAGTTCAAATTCTTTGCAGCCATAAAGGCAAGCAGTCATTTGTCTTTCAGATGGAATCTGTAATTTCCAGCAAGCTAAATGCTGGGCCTAAATACCACCTCCTATTAAATTGTGCCACAGGCATAGCCTTTTAAATACTCTTATTGTAAAAAGTTTGAAAAAGTATGAATACTGTTTATCTTTGCTTTTAACACAGGAAACTACAAGTTGCTATTAACATTTAATGGTATTAATCTCAGCATTAAGAAAAGAGAAACATGTGGAGAAGCCCTTAAGTTTCAGCCTATGGTTTCCATCAGATCCACCCTTCCAGAATTCCTTTTGGCCAGGTGTATCCTGCGTAAGTGCCAGCTTATATCTTGGCTCTTTTCCAACTACCCCTTCGCTAGGCTGAATAAATTTGGTTCTTACTTTGGCACAGTGGCCTATGGATCTTGCTTTGAGCACACTGGAAAGTGGTACCCTAAGTCTCCTTGGAGGCACCATTGGTGGACCAGATGCAAAAGTCAGTGACAAAATATCTGCCCACTGTTGTCACATTGTGAAAGAACCATTGGGAGTATACAAGGATGCCCCACCACCACCCAGCTGCCACCAGTTTCAGTCTTTGTCAATGACAATTCTGTTCATTCTATGCTTCATTTCAGTATTCATGCCTGTCTTCAGCAAGTGGCAGCATAAGTTGGGTATATATTGATGCTTCCTGGTGGCCACCATTTTGTTTTCCCAGAATTTGTCATGCTGGGGCATTGTGGGAGGAAAATGGCAGCTCCCACACAAAAATGGCAGCCGATGCTGGTAGACACCCTCTCTCCTACCAGCCTCAAGTCTGGTGCAACACTGGGGTGTTGATGGGGACAAAGTGAGGGGTGCCAGGAGCATTGGCCAAAGAAAAATCTTGCCGCTAACCGAGAAAGTAACCCTCTCCCTGCAAAGCGAACCAATGCCAGTTGCAGTGGGCCATTGTTCACTGCTACATTCACTTGATGAATGCACACCCGTGCCCAGAATGCTTCCTTTTCTTGCTAGTTCAGTCAATGCCTTGACCAGTAAGGATTTGCTTTGTCTATGGGAACGACGAGGGCTGGGACTGGGGTCCTCCACCAGTGGTAGTAAGAGTGGCTTAGCAAAGCAAGGCTACCCACCAGGCTGAAGTCCACTGTTTTAGGCCAGCATGGGTGCTCCTCACAATGCTCACAACTGACCCTTGGAGCTGTGCTACAATAAGTGTGTTGTCTCATATTGTGGACTGTACCCACACTTGTCTCCATCATGCAGTCTAAGAACTGGGGGCTTCGGTCATTGTATGTGATCCTCTCTTGCCAGAAGTTGCTTAGCATGGCTACCTAGATTGTCTCCACAAGGAAGCAAATAAAAAGCAACCATTTCCAGGCCCAACAGTATACAGGGTTAAATAATCCTCTATTAATTTCCTCCAACAAATATGATCCCCAGAGTGGGAAATGGACAGATTAGCTAGTTTGGCTGTTGGATCAAAGGGCCTATATAAACAGCTGTTTCTAGGCTTCTGGTCCAGGTTCTGAGCAGTTGATCCCAAACTGCAACTAGGGGCTTAGAATAAAGAAACTTTGCCATCCAGCTCTTTTATGATTATTCTGGTTGGCATTAACTGATTCCTTTGAGGCATTCGCTCACTGGAGGGAGCTCAGCTGTACAAAGGAAATGTGCTACCATCTTAGAACGAATGCCAGTAAAACCGGTTCATTTTTCCAAGGCAAAATGAGCTCCAACCACATTAGCCTTAAGTGCTGAAGTCAGTCATAGGTTTCCCCTTCTCCATGCTCAAAGCCACAACCAGCAAGCAACCCAAGGCTGACCCCAGACTTTCTAAATCTTTGCACCTGTGTTGGCCTCTTCTTTCCTAACTCACTCACCTGCTCTTTCTTAGCAATATGATCAGATCCATTTGTGGGAGAACATATATTCTCTCCACTAAATTTCTTTCTGGCTATCGTGTGCATGTGAGCTTTATGGCTAAGAATCTAAAGAGCAGAGCAGGATTTGGGATGCTCCAATGTTTGGGTAGCCATTTTTAAACCAGCTTTACAGGGCTAGAGGGCTGATTCCTGCCCTTTGAAAAAGAAGCCCCTTTCAGCAGCTTGGAGCGGATTATATCCAGGTGCAAACACATGACTGCAGTTAAGAAAATCTGGCCTGGGGTATCTCAGCCTTTAAGTAAGCAGCCCGTGTGCTTCACTCCTACGGGATCAACAGCAGGACTCGGTTATTGTTGGCATTTTCCAGCAGGCAGGGCTGGGCAAGGATAAATGTAAGAACCGTCTTTGGAGGCAGGCATTAGTCTGGAAACAAGAAACACGTGGTTATAAACAGAGAGTCAAGACTGTACAGGTCCCATTTAAGCACGCTCAGTCCAAACTTGGCACAGGATTCCCAAACAGGATGACCGCAAAGATCTCATATCATCTCCTTCAGGCAGTGTCAGCCTTTGGGACAGCCGCAGGTCCCACATGGTTTCCTCAAATCTCCTGTAGCCACCTTGAAAGTTGGACATTGCTTCTCCTCCTGCTCTCTGTGGTCTTGGTCCATCTCAAGGCTGTGACTGGTGTCACCATAAAGAGATCCAGCCTGACGTCCTCTCTGCAAACCAGTCCACAGGACACACAGGTACCAAACTCCATGGGGAGCTAGAGAGGCAGGAGTAGGAGGCTAAGAAGAAACATGAAGGTTGGGGATGGACAACACAGCCCCATCTCTCGCTTGTCCTTTTCATTCTTTTCCGGTTTTGTTTTCCTCCTCCCTCTTGCTCTTACTCAAACAGTCCAGGTGCAAAATGCATGTTTGGCCCAAACCCAAAACAAACACTTGCCTGTGCGTTCCCGGCAAGGTGCTATCTGGTCTCCAATGACTCCAAGTATTCCAGGGCTAGGTCATAGCAGAAGTGGTATTGTTCCTTTATGGCAAGGGAGAAAAAAGAAAGAGTGGCTAAGAGGAGTCAAACAGGCAGGAGGAGGAGAATGGAAGGCGGAACCACGTTCTGGCACCATCCTTTGGGGTGCTGCTAAGCTCTTAAAAGGTCCATAGGACACAAATCTGCCTAGGTTCTGCATGCGTACACAAATTACGTAATTCTTTGTGCAAAGCATGCAAAACTGCAAGGAGCAGAACTCCACTCGCACAGCAGGCACATGGTTGGAGGGTGTGCAAGCCAGAGTCACAGCCTTGCTTGGACATGCAAATGCTCAGTGCAAGACAGATTTAGGACAGAGGCAAAGCGAGCTGGAGCCAAGGAAATCCAATGGATTCTCCCGAACCAGATTCCTCACATATTCCTACCAGTAAGTCCTGCTGAGGATGTTTGTGGATCCAGTTCTGAGACCCTGGTTTACCTCCAATGATAGGCCTACTTGGACTAGATCTATTGAAACTAGGGAGACTGAAGTGGGCTCACTTAAATCCCATTCATTTCTCCTCTACATCAGCCTACACAGGAGTCACACAGTGCTGCTACCCACTGTCTTCACCGGCAAATGCCAGGATCGAGCCTGAAAGGAACAGCAAGACAGCAGCCATGGCTGTTTTCCATGCATGACGACAGCAGCAGATGCAAAAGTGGAGGGGCTCCCACACTTCCGAGGAAGACAGTAGGGGCCCCATCCTCTCGATGGGTGGGCTTCCTGCCCACTTCCGATTTGATGACTGAAAGTGGGTCATGGGGTTATTGTTGTTTTTCTTCTCAGGGACATCTATTTCCAAAACAGTCTGCACTTTAAAAACAAATATTGAGGAAATGTATGCAAATACATTGGACAAATCAGCACCTGCAAAACACATGGATCTAGTGCAAGTTGTGTTTTAAAAGCTGATTAATGCAAACTGGCATCTAAAAATACATGCTCCCCACGTTATTTGTGCAAATAGTGCAAGGGCAACAAGCTCTTTAGGTGACAATTTGTGCCCTGTCTTAGAGATGGAAGTCGGTGAGCTTGCTTGCAGTGCTAATAAAATGAAATCCAGGGGCCAAGTCATGAACATCTGTCAGATTTTCAGCCACTTATTGGAATCCTTACACACCTCTAGTCTGAGAAGACTAACAGCCAGGGCACTGGACTAGAGAGGGGAAAGCATAATTTGACTGAAACTTTATGTAAGATTATCTGTCTGTGTCCTTTTGTAGAAAGACATGATCAAAACTCAGTATCGATCTGCAAAATGCATATTTCTCGGAATTTTCAGTGCAATTCTTCAGTTTCTAATGCATAGCTGGAGTAAGTGCACACTAAAATTCATAACTGAAAATAATATTTAAAATGCACGATTCAGGGAACCTGATAGCAAAAATGTTCATGTTATGCAAACCTGCACATAAATGCATGAATTTGGAAAAAACATTTTGGAATACTGTTACAAAATGTGTAACGATTTTTGAAGGAACTAAGAAAAAGAATCTCAGAGCTTCAGATAGGCCAATCTTAAGATTAAAAAAAGAAATGATCCAGATGGCAGATTAATCCTTCCCTCGCTGCACTAGAATGGAGGACGACCTGAACTCAAACACATCATTGGCCCATCATTATCTCTTAACCTCACGGGGCTGTTGGGAGGATAAACTGGAAAGGAGGAATAAATATCCATTCCACTCCAAGCTTCTTGGGGGAAGGACAGGCTATTAATGCAACAAACAAATATATTCATGCCATCATCTCCCCCAGTGGTGCTAGCAAATGGAATGCTGGGGGGGGGGTGGAGGGGGCACATTTTAACTAATCAGTAAGTGCAATCCTATACCCCATTGCTCCATGGACCCCAGTGAGAGCAGGCATAAGATTGCTTTGCAGAGCTCTGATACAGAGTGCTTGCTTGTAATTATCATTCTTTATTAATTAAACTTATATTCTGCTATACTGGCCTGAGGGCCCTCCAAGCAGACTGTCAAAAGCACATTCCAGCATGGAAATGCAAAGTAAATAAGAAACTCTGATGAAAGCCAGTGCGTGAAAGATGCCCGGCTACTGGGATATTTGGAAACTGAATTCAAAGGAGTGTGTTCTGAGGTGGGGGTGGTAGCCATCAGCAGAATACAAGGCAGCCTGGGAATGAGATGAAAGAGGAGCCAAAAACTCTGTTTTGAAGGGATGTTCTCTGAAGTGGAAAACCATGGCTCTTTTTAAGAGGTGTTCAACACAGCAGAGTATTATTCTTTTATCTATCTTCCACCATTGCGCTGATGGATAATTCTCTTGTATTATATGAGCTTCTTAGTGAGATGGGAGCAGACAATTCTGTATTTCTGACACACCTGTGGGCCATATGAACTAGATCCCAACGGGGAGAGAAATAAAGATCATAACTGATTGATGTTATGGGACAGAGTGATCTGAGCTGAGACTAGGCTGGAAAGTGTTTAATCCAGCAAGCAACAACTGTGTTACGGTGTCCATAAAGCCAAAGTTCACATTCAAATTCTTTTAAGAAGGGCCCCCTCCTCATGCGTATACACACACCTCCCCAAGGCACCCTCTGTGCATAGACCATTGTGCCACTTGGCTACCTCTTCTTCACCAACAATATTGCAAGGAACGACTTAAGTATCAGGCTACCCAAAGGCCTTTTTCTCACTGAGCTGGGCTACCTGTTTAGGTTGAGATTTTTCAGATTTCATTCACATTATGACCATCCTGCCCCCTAGAAGCCTAGGTGGGAGACAGAGAGGTTCTAGCCTAGCCTTTTCCTTGGCAGATGTTTTTTGTGTGTCAGGAGTAATCATTGCAATAATCACCATTCGTGCACGGAGCAGCAGTCCACCATGTGAACACCCACCAAAATTTGACGTGGTTAGGAGGATAGGAAGCTGCCCCTTGTTGCTGTCTCTGAACCCACCTGCAATCTTGGCGATGCAACCCATGCAGATCTTAAAATGTGTACAAAAATCTGCATCTTTTGAGCATATTAAAAATAATGTGGTTTCTCTCTGTGTGTTAATTTCATAGTTTGATGCAGGAATGGGACAGACTGGCCATCAAATTAGCTGATGCAAGATAGACATGGGCCTGTAACGGACTATTCTACCTACGCTTTCTACCCTTTTTTGCATCTGTTCAAACTCTACAACTCCAGTTCAGAGATGAGATAACCCTGTGCCAAAGGTGACTGCATCAAAGCTACGGACATTGTAATACTGTCAGCTTGAATCCAGTGAGAAAAGAGGTAAAGGTTGTTATAGCACAGAAATAAACATCTGGGTGCCCTCCAGATGTTTGGGGCAACAACTCCCCTCATTCACGGCTATCGACTAGGATTACTGGGCCTTATGGCAGGTACCAGTTTACATGAAGTTTATTATTTTATTTATTTATTTATTTATTTATTTATTTATTTATTTTTATATCCTGCCTTTTTCCTACAAAGGGCTCAAGGCAGCTTACATCATCTATCTTATCCCCACAACAGCAACCCTGTGAGGCAGGTTGGGCTGAGAGTCTGTGACTGGCCCAAAGTCACCCAGTTGGCTCCATGGCCGAGCGGGGACTAGAACCCAGATCCTCTGAGTCCCAGTCCCAGGCTCTTGCAGACATGTTTAGGAATCAGTTCTTCAGACTCAGCAGAATGCTAGTTTTCTGTAAAACTTTCCATTTTACTGCCCTGCATAACATTTCCACATCTTCTAAGTATGGATCCTCTAATCTTGAGTTAAGGAGGAGCTGCAAAAAGATCTGGGTAGCAGAGGATTAGCTGCTGCTTGCATTTAAGAACTGTGACATCTGCAAGAGAAGGTCTTTCACCAAAGCTCCATGTGTGTCCCATGGCAGGAAATAGGAGAAGACCTTTTCAGAATCCAATTAATTGGCAGTGGGTCAAGGAAGCAAGACACCAATGACTCATGTGTGGGTGGACACTGAGGGAAAGGGATCAAGGAGAGAAGTCATCTACCAGCAAGGTTAAAAACACAAAATGCTTTGGGATTAAGGGAAGGGGAAAAAAGCTTGTTTTTCTTTGCCGCAGAAAGGATGCACATGGGCCAGATCCTCCATGGGTGCAGCTCAGTGAAGCTCCACTAATAGCAGATAGACAAGATCTCATTTACTCCTGTGGTGAATCATGAAACTCAGTATCAGGAAACAGACTTTGCAGGTTCAACTGAGGTTGGGGAAAATTGTGTTCCAGTTGAAAAGACTAGTTTGCATTTGCTAATACCTTGCAATTTAGCCCAATAGGTTGTCCGACTCCGTGCCACTTACTGCTGCTTCCTTTTTATTGCTTTTGCTTAATTCTATTGTCTTTTCACCCCCACCTATTCCAACTGTGGGATTTTTTTTTGCCAAAATACAATCACATCTACCCACAAAGACATTTCATTTTGCAAAGCAGGGATTTGATAATCCATACTTTGCAAATGTCCTATTTCCCTTCCTCAGGTCTGTTCCTGACATATCTCCTTTTCCCTTTACAACAAGGTCCCCAGTGTTCTGGACAAATACGCCTGGGAACGCAAAAGCACCCATCAAGGATGGAATCTTTTTCTTTTTCTAGAATTACCTTCCCCTCTCAACTTTATTTCCTTTTTCCTACAGATTGTGAATAGGAGCTCTCTCTTTTAGGAATGCAAAAAGCTGTCACTTTCAAGTTCCTTCAGTTTCGCATTGAGGATTCAGTTTGTCCTGAGCCTTGAACATGATTTACATATTGCTTCGAAATTCGTAAGCATGTTTGTGCACATTTCTGCAAATATATGCATTTTCTGTGCCTTTGGTCTAATATACAACTGCAGGCATTTTTTTTCTAATAGAAAACACTTGAATATTATTTTCCCAAATATGTGTGTTTTTTCATGCAGTTTTTGATTGGAGGACTCTTACAAAATTCAGATAGTACGAATTTCAAAGGTAATAGAGTTTCAGTTGCCATGGTGATTCAAAAGCACAAAATTAGGTAAACTGGACCATTCCCCCTTCCCATTCCTACCTTCTTTCAGTGAGTGTTTGAGTGAGGGGGCTTTTGCATGGAAAAATATTCTTTCCACTTACTGAGCTGGTAATCATGTTCCCTATTGCTTCTGGATGCAATGTTCTGTGTTTGTTCTGTGTTTGTACCATGCGCTAAGACACAAAAATGAAGTTGGGAAGCATCAGCCACCTCCCCATCCTGATTTGATATCATGATCACAAAGTATAGCTAAGGAATCTCATGGTAGCAGCGCTCCTCTTGGTAGTCACCTGCCAGAAGCACCTTGTATCCAATGCATTACTATGCTCCCTTTCTTCCATTCTGGAACTCAAAGTCACAGGTAAGTTGTCTCCCACCTGGCCACTGCCAAGTTCCAGACTTGCTTAGCTTTAGCATGGTGGCTGCTTCATGAGCCTGCCTGTTGGCCCAAGAAGCCCTCTCTGCAGAATGGCATGTCATGACTTAGCTGTTGTAGCAACACAAAGCTTTGGGTCCGTTTTGTCTTCCTCCTGGATCACTCCCCTCTTCCTGACCAGGGGGGTATAATGGTCAAAGGGAGTGCTTCATCTCATCCTGAAAATACGGAGCGCTGCCCAAAACCCTCCACCACCTCTTCATCCTGTATCCAACATGGGTGAGAGCTCAAGAACTTTATTGGATCAGGGCAAAGGCTTATGTAATGGAATTCTCTCTCCATCAAGTGGCCAAGTCAAAGTGTAGCTGCCATTTTTTCTGAGGGGAGCAGAAAGCATTCCTAATGCCTCCCAGGGCAAGCAAAAACCCTTACAATGGACTCTTTTGATGGCTACCTCCCATCCCAAGAATGACCATTATCACTAAGGTTGTTGGAGATCTGTGCACCAGATCCCAGTGCATTTGGATTTCTGTGTCTCTGATTTCTGTGTCACAACAGCCCAGAGTTCTTTAAGTTGCACAGATTCTTCAGAATTGCACATTGTTTTCCTTATTTTGGTGAGCAATTTACACAAACTGGCATTTGCTGCAATGCATATTAGCATTAATGCTTATCTGAACTGTTATGCATTGGAATGAATTGCACATGCACAAGTGAACAAATGTCTTGTCCATCTGTTTAAAAAAATCCTATTCTATCAATGAGCAGACCATGGCAGAAAAGCTGCCTGGCCATCCACAAAACATAGTAAAACAACCTTAACAAAACCCAGGCATCCATCATGATCACACACTAATGATTTCAACTACCTGTCCATAAAAAGCAGGCAGGCCAAGCATTTCATGACTGGTCAAGAGTGGAATACTAATCTAGCATACAGAATGCCCTGCGGGTTCGGAGCAGAGATGCATCTAATCCAGCACCCTGCTTCAGTCAGTGGGAAGGCCAAAAGCAGCACTCCCACATGGTTACTGGTATTTAGTGGTTTCACAGCCACTAACAGAGCTATTCTTCAGTTTACCCTCCATAATTCCTAGCACATTTCTACAAATGCATGATGGCATGGAAGGTACAAGGGAAATATTGATCACCACTTACAAAGGTCTCCACCATATTTGGTTTGTAGTTACGGAGGGTCTTTGCAGCAAAGAACACATCCACCAGCTTGTGACACTTGATCATCTCCAAGATCATGGTGCAAGCACAGAAAGTGCCACTCCGGCCACCCCCATTCCTATGGAAGAAATAAATTGCATGGATATAAGCACACAGAAATGGCCCATTGAGAAAAACAAGGCAATCATCTCCCATTTAACCCAGCAAAGGAGAAGGAAGAATAAAGCAAACCAATGCTGGTGTCTACTCTTATGGGAATCATTTCAACATTACCCTTGGGAATGATACTGAGGTTTTGATGGGTCTACTAGGAATACAGCCGTAGAATGATTGGAAGAAGTCTTTTAAGCTACCGAGTGCAACCTCCTTGCTCAGTGAAGAATCAAGTTTAAAGTATCCTTGACAGAGAGGAATCGACCAGAAGTATTCAATCTCTCTCAGCTTGAGAGCTGAATTCAGTTTCAAAGAGCTTTCATTCCAGTGGTGAGCAGGGCAAAGGAATAAGACAAAATACCAGGAAAAAGCATGCAAAATGTGGGAAACTATCAAACAATTGGTAGTTGGGGGAAAGTGGTATGGCCATTTGAGGATCCTAGAGGCCCAGATGAGGTCCAATACCCTTTTAACAGATGGTCACCCTTTGACCATTCTTGAAGGGTTGAAAAAGATGTAAGGCTGGTGCATCCTTCTGGATTCTACCTAAGATTGTACAAGGCATATGGGGGAGGCAGTAGTCATATACAGATGGCTTAATTAGAAGCCATGTGCCCAGTGTCATTTTGGACTTCTGACAGACTTGAACAAAGGAGTCTGAAAATAGGCAGATCTGTAAATCCCTGTTTATTACTTCCATCCAAAACAAGCAGTAATGAACTGAGTCCTTCTAAGGAATCCTTTGTTTTGCTAAGTTTTGCATATTGTTTTGCTCTTGCAGATGATGATGTTGATGTTGATGATGAATAATTTAGTAAGAACTTTCTCTTATGGGTTTTGAAATTTGCATGTATGGTTTACATAATAGACTGCCTAGATTGTCTGAGCACACACTTGCTCAGAAAAGATCCTCACACCTCAGAATGTGTTCTTCTGCCTGCGGCGCAGAATCGCTCCCAGCTTTCAGACTAGCTGCTTTTAAGTCTCCAGATACAGGATTGCCCATCTTTCTGAGATAATTAAATGGACGCTGGTGGCAGTGATTGAGAAATAATCCCTGCTAAGAGATTAAATTGCTGAGCAGGCTTAGAGGGAGTGTTTTACTCTTATGCAAATATACATGGAAGTTTAATGGATGGTAAAAAGTATAGGGTAGGGAAAAGAACCCTTCTTCCCTAATGGGTATAATAACAGTGTCACCATTGCATGGTTGGGGTAATGTAGCATTTTGATCTCCTGGAAAAAATATATAAATATGAAGCATTATATTATTATCCTCCTTCATCAATTTCAGGGTGGAGGTGGAGCTTAAAATGGCTCCCAGAGATTGAAACAGTCATTTGTGACATAAAGAAACTTTTATTTTTTCAGTTGAGGGGGCTTACCATTACTTAAGCCATGGTAGCAGAGGGCTTTCTAATCCTTCTCTCTTCAACCAAGAATAACAGAACCCCAGGGTTTATGTCCAACCCTGGGAAATCTTGCCAGCATCTGCAGGGTGTTTACACTTTGCCCAGTATTGAGGCTAATCTCACAATATGCTGAGCTCCAGCTTCTGCCCTTGACCAAATGACCGTGGGGATGTTGAACCTCAGGCCTACAAAATGGTCCCAATCTGGCCATCCAGGTTTCTCCATCTACCCAAACCCCATTCCCTTCAGTCACCAAGTGTTTCATGGTCCCCTCGATTTTGCATAGATCTGTTTTTCCCTGTTTGTTCATTTATTTATTTATTAAAACATTTGTATGCCGCCCCATTCGCTGAAGCCTCGGGGCAGCTTACAACAATACGTTACGTTACAGCTTACAACAATACAACAATACAATACGTTCTGCAAGTTTAGTTACCAAGAGCCAGAGGGAACAAACCTAAGGTCCTCAGACAGGTTATTTTGGTTTCCCAGCTCTGTGGTGTCAGACTTGGGAAGTGCAGTCCCTGTCCCACCAAAGCCAGAGTAAAAAGAACTATAGCAGCTGCTCCCCAAGATCTGGGAAGTGATTCCTGGGAGGGTTGTTTAGGGGGCAAAGAATGGAGAAGACCAGACAGGCAAGGATATGGTGATTCTGAAGCTGCTCCAGCTGTCCTCCTTCACGTCCTGAGGCACCATTCCGAAATGGCCAGAAAGGGCCATCTGGCAAAATGGCAGAATGGAGGGGGCGGCGCGGGAGGGCAAAGAACTCCCTAACCCTTCACTGCCCCTTCTGCTCTGCAGTGGATGGGTGTGAGCTAGGAAACCCACTCACATCTTGATAGATTGCCCTCTTAATGCCTCTACTCAGGCCCCATTTTGTTTGCTTTTATTCCCTGCCTACTGCTGGAATGTGGGCCCCCAGAGATGCTGCAAAACTGAATTAGGCCCTCAAGCTCCAAGAGGTTCAACACTCCAGCTTCAAAACGGATGATATGGGGTTTTATTGCTGCAGCTCCCAATTCAGGCAAGCTAAACAGCTGCGAATGACACTGTCACTATCCCAAGTTCCCAGAGTAAACTCAAGCAACTTCAATTATTCCTTCTCAAGCACATGTTTACTTTTATGTTAACTGCTGAGACCCAACATAGATCTGTCTCCCCCATTCCACATGCTGTGTGCAGGCAGGATGCCAGTTTACACTGCAAATTCTTCAAGGCACCAGTTCCCATCAGAGCTCATAAATCCTTTACACCTGATTTAATCGAATTAGCCATATGCATGCAAGATTGTTGTTTGTGAGCCAGGGGCTGCCAACTCCCCCACCTTCTTTCTCTAGCTCCTCATCTTTACTGTCTGGAGAATTCAGAATTTTGCAAAGATGCTGCCAAATTATCCTTAGGCAAATGAAGACAGACAAGACCGTGCTTCATATTTTATTAAAACCTTGCTGGCTAACTCTGACTTTATGGAAATGTGTTAGTGTGCCCCATATACACACACACATACACACACCTACATATAATACTGAGGATGTATTTAAAAAAGAAATACTTAGAGTAACAGTTCCAGAGATCCCAGCTAAGCTTATATAATATTTGCAAGAAGAGACATAAATACAAGAACTGTGTTCTAGTTTGAAAATCGCCCAAACTCACCTCGCTGGCAACCTCCAAAACAAACATGAACTAGAAGTACACATTCTCAAATTTGTGACTTGAATTCAAAAACTGGCTTTTTAAATGTGATGTCTTTAAAATATACACAATGGGAGAAAAGTGTAATGTAATGTATTATAATATTTGTTCTGAGTTTATTAAAATCAACTTTCCTAAAATCCAGGGTGCATGTTTGGCTACATTTGGCTTTTGCTTCCTTCATAATTATGAATTCAAGCCTGGCATGGTCACTTTCCCGCAGAATTCCCATAGCTGCCACTTTATCCAATAGGTCTTTCCTGTTGGTTAGTGTCAAGTCGAGGGTAGCCATTCCTCTTGCTTCTTTCTTCACTTTCAGTTAGAAAACAACACATGTTAGGAATCTCTTGGAGGGGCCATGTTTGGCAGAATTTGTCTCCCAATAGATAGTGGGGAAATAGAAGTCCCCATAATGATGACATCGTGCCTTCTTGAAACACTGGCAATTTGCTTTCTGAAAGTTTCATCCTCGTCTTCTCCTTGACTGAGTGGTTGGTAATAGACTCCAACTACTGTGTTCTGTTTATTTCATGCTCCATTTTTATTAATCCAGAAGCCCTTGATGGGGTTACTAAGTTCATTCTCCTACATTTCTGGGAAGAGATATGTATCCTTAACATTAGTGTGACTCCACCTCCCCTTCTGTTCCTTCTGTTTTCTTGAACAGAGGGTGTATTCCAGTATGAGAGTCATCGCACCAAGTTTCAGTTAAACCTATCAGGTTGTATTCGTGCTCCTGCATTAAGAGTTCAACTCCATGCTGTTTGTTTCTCATATTCCGGGTACTAGTATATAGACATTGAAGACACATGCTGTATACTCTACTTTTCTTCCTACACTTTTTGGAAGACTATGTATTCTTGGGCACTGTTAGAGCTGCTCTGTCTCCATAACCCTTTGCCTGTTGTTCCACCCATGTACACTTCTCCCTTCCTTTAGGATTTGGTTTAAACCCCTCCGGATAAACTTCCTCATAGCCAAACACCTTCTTATTAGATACAATCCCTTCCTTGCCAGCAGTCCATCTTCCAAGAAGTGTAGTCCATGGGCCCAGAATTCAGATCTCTCATGTCAGCACCACCTTCGTAGCCCAGCATTCAGCTGCAGTATTTTTCTTTTCCTGTCTATTTCTCTTCAGTGAATCAGAAGGATTGAAGAGAAAACTATCTAGGTCATAAAGTTCTAGATTTCCTCCCAAAGTTTGATGTATGTTCTTCAAAGCTCCACTTGGTAGTGTCATTTATTCCCACGTGTATAAGAAGGAAGGGATACATGTCAGTGGGCTGTATGAGCCTCAGCGATCTTTCAGTTATATCACTAATCTGTTCTCCAGAGATACAACATACCTGATGCAGCCACAGGTCGTTCTGACATACATGGGTTTCCATCCCATGCAACAGAGAGGCTCCCACAACTAACGCTCTTTGCTTCTTGTTCTTGCAAGTCTTGGAATCATTGCTACTACTTGGTTGACCTTTTGCCTCTTGTTCAGGGTTGCACAAGATGACTTTCAGTTCCTCCGTGGCAAACTGCCCTCCAGTTGCATCCTCAAGTAACTGAAAGTAGTTCAGTGGTTCCATGCTTTCACTGGTGCAGAGTGTCCTCTAGTTATTCTGCACCTAACTGTCACCCTTTTCCAGGGAATTTCCTCTTTTCCCCTTCCCTTAGGATTATTTTTTTTATTTATTTATCGATTTATATCCTGCCTTTTTCCTACAAAGGGCTCATGGCAGCTTACATCTCCTCCTCCATCTTACCCCCACAACAACAACCCTGTGAAGTAGGTTGGGCTGAGAGTCTGTGAATGGGCCAAAGTCACCCAGTTGGCTCCATGGCTGAGCGGGGACTAGAACCCAGGTCATCTGAGTCACAGTCCCATGCTTTTAACCACTACACCACACTGGCTCTCATTATCCTCTTCTTCCCACTCAAAAACACCTGAACACAAATGGGAGCACATTTTCTCCAAAAGGTTCAAAAATTCCTGAACTTGCCTCCATATCTCCAAATTCTGTAATTAAAATGTGTCACTTTCTCAAAATGCACAAATTTAATTAACCCATGTGCACATTTCAATTAACCCATGCTAGTCAATGGAGGAAATTTGTGTAATTTTGGGTATTCATGCAGATTTGGAAATTACTTGCATCACTTTCTTATTTGACAGCTGCCTCTCCTGTGGGGGGAACCAAATAGCATTTGCAAATGTGAGCACAAATCAAAGGTAGAAGAGCAGTGAGCTGAGGCTTCAAGAATCTTGGCAAGCATGAACATCACTCATTTACCCAACCGCAAACATCCTTTCGTGAAGCCAATTAGAGTCTTTTAAACTATTTTTTATCCCATTGTGGAGGGAGGAGTATTTCAGGAAAAAAATGGAGAGAAGGCTCGGTCTTCTCCTCCTGGCATTCACTTCATGCTTACTCTGTGAGTAAGAAAGCAAGAAAAGGGTCAACTTCATGCTATATAAATAACATGATGTGTGGTTTGATCCTTGCATGTGGGTAAGGCTTGAAACACACAAACACTACATAATTGTGATGGTGTCGTGCTTTTTCTTCTTGCGCAGTCTTTACATCTCAAAGGTTTGAGTTGGAATGAAGTTTCTCAGTGATGCAGGATTTTACAGATGGAGGAAGGCTGGTAACCTGAACAACATCTCCCTCCAAATGAGAAAGGAAAAAGGAGTCCGCCAAGATACTTACAAACAATGCACAATTGTCCTTCCATCACCACATTCCCCCTGCCACTTTTCCACTTGGGCTAACAAATGCAGGAAAGACTTCTTAGAATCAGGGGTGTCTCTGTAGGCTGACCACCGCAAGTATTGGAAGTGTCGCACCATCAGGTGCCCCTCCTGTAACTAAAAACAAAAAACAAAGTATCATTTTCCTTAGTTTTTAGTAGCTTGCTAAGGACAGAAGTCTTCAGCCTTTAAACAGAGCAGCCATCTTGAATCTGAACCTGTACCATGGAAGCCATTTTTAAACATGTGTTCACCATCTTGCTGTTCTCTGCAGCAACTAGGCCTAAGGTAAAAAGGTCTGCTCTATCTCAATGATGTACAAGAGAGTATGTTGACCGGTGAGGCAATTAAGCATTTTTCTTCCCCAAAGTTCTACCCTGAAGGCACCATGAATTTTGGTGATCTTTACTATGTAGCTGCTAATGTACAAGAGGTCTCGTGTCTGTCACCTTCCCTCTTCCTTTCTTAAAAGAGCAAATGGAAAGTTGTGGGGGTGGGGGGACTGACACTGCAGAATGACCCCTATTAAGTTGCCAAGTAATTAATTTGTGGGCCTTATCCAACATCTGAAGACTGAATCCGAAGGCTAAATTCAACTTCCAAAGATGGCTTAGAGTGTCTTCCGATGGGGGAGTCCAAATGGATGGTACTCATTCAAGAAAATATGGAATATGCTACTTGGCCCAGGATGCCAAGTAGGGAGAATAGGAATATTATTCTTGGCACAGGGTAAACTATAGCAGGCTGCAGCTGTTCTCCCAGATCCTACCGTCACCCACTCTAAACCCTTTCACAAGAAAACATGACTCTGGTGCACACGCAATGAAAGAATCAAATGGGCTCACAGCTCATCAAGATTCTGTGCATTTGCTGTGCCTCTGAACATTGGGATGGGGAAGGGAAACACACCCACACCCACAAACATGCAACAATGGCAAAAACAAAAGGAAATTAAAGTCGTGGGTAAGTGCTCATGTGCTGGTTCCAAAATTAATTTGGAAATCCCTCATATCAAAGCGGCAGAAAGGTGCCACCCAAAGGCGGTCAATTCGTGGAAGAACAATGAGAAGAAAGCAGAGGAACTGCAGAGAACTCTCTTTCCCTGATTTGTCGGAACACTGGACTTATTCCTAGAACTACAACCCCCTGGTCCTTCTCATACTTATTTGTCCTCATTTACAGAAGACTGTTCTCTAGTTGAAGGTGTCCAGTCTAATTCCAATGTAAAATAGAGGACTTTTTGTCATGCAGCTGCAGTCGGTTCCTGGGCAGAAGAATTAGGCACACATGCAGTTTGCTTAGGGCAAAATCTTACACATCTTCAGTCATAAAAGGCATGGTAGAAGTTGTAGGACCTTTTTCTGTCTAAACACACAGCAGATTGCACTTTTAGTTGCCCCGTGTTATGCACAACAGTGATCTGTGCTGTGTTTCCACTTAAATTTCTAAATGTACATCTATATAAACTAGTAAATACAACTGCTAAGCAAATTGCTAGTCTCTTTGGTCCTTTCTCATGGTATGTTTCTCCTTTTTTGGTGATTTTTGAATGGGCTTCCTCTCTCAAACGCACACACAGATTGAGAGAAAGAATACAACATGCATTTTGGCCGTGATGGATTGCAAAAGCACCTAGATTTATGCATTTGGTATACACTGCAAACTTTAAAAGAATGGAACAGAAGGGAGGCAGGGAGAGGGGAAAGATGCTCTTTAATACTCTGATAATCTAGTTAGCTTTGCAATCTAATGTAGTTAGAGGGCTACAGAAAGAGGGGGGATTAGGCGCACATAGCTAAGCGAGTCCAGGGTTTAAAGCAGGTGGACAGGGAGCTCAGTACCAAATCAGAAGCTTCTGAAAGAGGATGGAAAATAAGACTGGCTTACAGGATGGCTCTCTGGGGCTTGCGCTCCAGCTCTCACTAATGGTTTCATAATGGTTTGGGGCAGGAGGGGTACAGAACTGGAGAGACCGGTAATCAGAAGTAGATAGCTGACTGATCGGCATGGAAGTCTGGATGCATTTATGAGCAGTCGGATGCATCTCCGGAGTGTCTCAATGGTTCTTCCACTGATTAAAGCACCTCCGTGCATATGGCTTTGTTCATGCATGTTTTTCAAATGTATACCTGCCACAAAACACCTTTGTTTGGTCCCCCAATCATACGCAAGTTCAGAAATATACAAACTTTGGGCACGGATTGCATTGGCATCTGTATTCGGTCTGGGAGGCATAAACTGATTACAGTCTGATCAAAACAGTGCTGAAACGAATTTCTCATACATCCCTACATATTATGTAGAGCATTTTTTATGCTTCTATAAAGAATTCCAACCGCCAGTAGCTTTCCGCAGTCGTAGGCAGAGTTGTTATATATTACCTGCTAACTGGTGAGGTTCAATCCTTCACACAAAGTGTGTTCTACCTTTGGTCCCTTCCTCGGCTATTTTCTGGCTCTTTCTGCAAATTAAGCTGTCTGTGCTGGCTACTGAGCTCCTTGAAAAAGACAGAGAGGATCTGCCATTTATGGCATTTAGTGTCCAAAGACTGTCATTACTGTTGTGGCTGCCTGCAGCTGTTGAAGACAGAGGGCTGCGTAGGATGGTGGCATCTGAAACTTATTAAAAACAGCCCCTGTGGCTTTCGGAAGGTGGTACAGGCATGGAAAACCTGTGTCATCAATGCCAAACCAATTAGGTAAGACAATGAGAGGAGGGATCCAAAGGGAAAGGGGGTGGATCCAAGGCCCTGGCTCTCCGAGCTCATCTGAAGGTGTGGGAAAGGGGGGGAATAAGGCTTTGTATCATTCTGCCAAAGGTGAGAGTAGGGGCACTCCATCAGTTTCTTCTTCTTCTTCTTCTTCATCATCATCATCAAAATTATTATTTTAATCAGCTTATCATCTTCACACTATAAATAATAAAAATACTATCTATAATCCTATTAATTTTCTCTTATGCTTAAATAATGGTGGTCCTGCCAAGTTAAAAGCTAATAAAAGTCAGTAAAATAAATAAATATATTTAATATATATAAATAAAAACCTGATGCCTGTTTCATTGAAAGGCAGGGCAGACAGCAATATCCTGGGCCATCAGGTATGAGCCATAACATTGCTCTCTAAATGGCTGATACGCGGAATCATAGTATAGTGAGTTAGAGGGCACCACGAAGGCCATCAGGTCCAACCTCATACTGTTGCAGGACACCAATTTATACCACTCAGATGGCTGCCCAGTTTCTTTCTGAATGTCTCCAGTGTAGGAGAGCCCACCACCTCCCTAGGCAGCTGGTTCCACTGTCGTATTGCTCTGACAGTGAGGAAGTTTTTCCTGATGTCCAGCCTGAATCTGGGTTGTCGCAACTTGCCTGGATCATTCCATGTCCTACCCTCTGATCTGAGTGAGAAAAGATCTTAACCTTCCTCTTTGTGACAGGATTTTGGGTACTTATAAAGGGATACCGTGTCCTCCCTCAGTCTTCTCAAGGCTGGACATGCCCAGTTCTCTCAGTCTCTCCTCACACAGCTTGTTTCCAAATCCAGGATCATTTTTATTGCTTTCCTCTGGACCCTTTCTAATTTTTCTGCATCTAAATCTTGGTGCCCAGAACTGGGGAAAGTATTCTAGACATCTGGAAGGATATAGGATTAGAAACATAAAAACAGAGCGAGTCAAAAGGGGTCTCCCGGGCCATCTAGTCTGACTCCTGGCTCCAGCCAGCTCCGCTCATGACATGCTCATCATGTGCATGTCTAACCTATCTTTGAACACCCTCACCAACGGGGCCTCAACCAAGGGGTCATCTGTTTGGCCTCTTCATGTTTTGGCCCTTTCACAGACTCTCTAAATTTCTTTACTACAGAGAGATTTTGTATGGTTGCTAGTTGTGTAACTCATTCAACTGCTTCTATTGTTCAATGTTGTTTATGCTGCTGTCAACCAATTTCACTGACTGACTGACTGATTGATGAGCTATTGTTTTCATGTGTGTTCTGGTGATGCTTTAAAATGCTTGTATGATCTCATTAGCTGGTTTTACAGAACATAGTAAACCTCAAGGATGATCTATCCTAAGATTGTAATTAGTAACAAAAGTCACATTGAATCCCTCTTTATTTAGGGGTTTGTTCAAGAAAAGTACACCATGTTGGTGAAAAGGTACATCCATACTCTCAATACTGCATGGTGTTCCTAAGCTGCTCACCCGTGTTATATTCTGCACCCGGAAAAGACGAGCGACCACATCTTCGTCAGCTGATCTGGAAACATATTCCACCTCCATTGGTCCGTACTGCTGGAGTCCCGGCTCAGGCCAATATTGTAAACAAGGCTAAAGAGAGAAACAATACAGAGAGATGAGCAGAAGGTGCTGGAATAAAACACATTAGAGCCAATAGTACAATCACTACAGAATCAAAATTTCTACAGGCACATCCACATTGTTAGGACATGTGTACAAGAAAAGGTCTTCCCAGAAGGACAGAACCTTCTATAGAATATTCATAATGGATTTCATGCCCAGTCCAAGTTATCTCACTGCCTGAGGCAAAGTACAAGGTGAGCATCCCAACACTCCATATACAGAAGCCAACCAGATTGGAAGTTGAGTCTTACTTCCATCTTGCAACAGAGCAGTCCACTTCCTTGTCAGCTAACTTACTGGAGTACCAAGCTTAGGAAAAGGAGATCAACCCTGACTGCTCTTTAGAAGGCCAGATACTGAAGATCAAATACTTTGGCTACCTAATGCGAAGGAAGAACTCACTGGAGAAGACTCTGATGCTGGGAATGATTGACGGCAAAAGAAGAAGGGGACAGCAGAGGATGAGGTGGCTGGATGGAGTCACTTGGGCAGTGGGTGTGGAATTGGGTGGACTCCGGGGGATGGTGGAGAACAGGAGAGCCTGGAGGAGTGTTGTCCATGGGGTCATGATGGGTCAGGCATGACTTTTTGACTAACAACAACAACAACAAGCTTAGGAGACTCAGGAGGGAGCCTGCTGTTTACTCCAGTCTCTGTTATCTGAGGAAGATCCCTCATCTTCCCTCAGCATAGAACTGCCCCAGATGGAACTGTACCTTATCGCTCATAAGAAGTTCTGTCTGATGTAGCAAAAAGGTCCATAGCAACAGAACAGTGGAGTATATGAATTGCCTACTAGATGAGGCCTGCAGCCCTATACCCATTTTTCTGGGTAGTCATTTATCTGTGACCATGCTCCATCAAACTCAATGGGACTGACTTAAACATATACAATATTGCGGTGATAGGCATGGAAAAATCCACATGCATTCAGTTGCAATGCACTTTTGAATGCATTCATCCACCAGTTTGTTCTATTCTATTGCTATATTTTTTATCAAAATCTGCACATTCACATTCAAATATGCATCCAAATAAATGTTTTATGCTTTCAAATATGCCTTTCTAAGCATTTGTATTTTGAATTGAGAGCTTTGCCAGAACATTCAGTGAGCATGAAATCTGTTAGTTCCAAACAGCACATTTTCCCAAGATATTCAGATCAGTTGAATTCTTGTTGGAATTTGCAAAAAATGCCTACCACAAGCAACTCTACCAACAGTGGCTGCTGTCAACAGCAGGTCTCTCTCTGCCTATTTTCCTCTTCAGCAGACCGAGATGAGACTCTAGAAGCACAGCCTTTTTATTAAAGCTTAACAGGTTACAGAACTGTGTCTATCACGCTAGAATCCAAACTGAAACTTCCTTCCCTCCCTTTCAGAAAAACTTCTGACTGTACCCCTTGGGTGGCTCATGATGCTTGCAGGCAAGATGGTGGCAACATCAAAGACATCCTAACTGATCCACTTGTTTCACCGGTCATTTCCTGACTGGGTCAAGGCACTCCACTTCCATGTCCTTCCCTAAGGCAGGGTAGCTCTCACAATCTGTCTGGGAATCTCCTTGAAACTGCCTCTGTCTAGCTTCTCCACAGAATAGGATGAATGAAACTCCTTGAATAGATGGTAATGAGTGGGAGCCAGGGATCCCTCTACAGCAATTAGACGCTTCTAGAAGCAAAAACGCTCTTGTGCTTGTCTCTGGTACCTGGAATTAACCTACTGTGTCCTACATAGAATAGAGGCCTTTGCTCCACTGTCTTTGAAACATCTTGTGCAATGAAGAGATCTCGAGTTCTCCAAAACTTGCCCTCAATTGGTCATGATAAATGTATTGTCTACCATGGATTTTGTATTGTTTTCCTTTTGGACCAGTATGGCATGCTTCATTTTAGGTGTGGCGCTATCCACCACAACCATCACCACACCATCACTTTCAGCTGTTTTTTCCTAAACTAGAAATACTCATGGCTTTAAATATGGTTGTACATTTGATGTTGTTTTCAAGCAATCATCAGGACAGTCCTGATAGCTGGAGCTCTCAAGAAGAATCCAAAAATCCAGGCTGCTGCTTTAATCCATCCATTCACCTCTCTCTCTCTCTCTCTCTCTCTCTCTCTCTCTCTCTCTCTCTCTCTCTCTGGTGGGTGTGCTTATGTTGCTGGAAAAACCCATTTCCTTTGAGCAACTCTGAGAATTTCAGCTTCAGAAGGAACAAGGAAGCCTGAGTGGAATGTCAGCTGATGTAATCATCGCCAGCAATCAAAAAGTCCCGGGGATGCATCAAGCCTGCAAGTCCCAAATCCAGTACACTACAGGGTTTCCCCATTTTTTTTTTCTGTAGGAAAGCAATTCAGTATCATCATCCTTCCCTTCAGCCAAAGCCCTTTTCCTGCCAGCTCCAATCGGAATGTATCAACTTGAGGTCTCATATTCTGAGGCATTAGAAGCACTAGAGGGAGATCCCTGATAGGATGGGATCCCGCTTTCCTTATCTCTCATCCAGCTGCACTGTTGATGGATTGCTCAATTCACGGGTCATGGCTGTGATTGTTTTCGTCCTGCGACAGCCAGAAAGGCAGCGTCAATACAAAATATATGATGTTTGTCATCGCACTTTAACACAACATTTAGCATTTTGGGCCATCCGACAGCGCGAGCCTCACTGCATGGCAAATGTGTTTGAGAAATAATTGGTTATTAATAGGGGCTATAAATCTCTGTGATCTTCCAGACTTGGAGCTATAATTTGGATATTAAAACTTCCTTTGGCAAGACATAGTTCAAGCGAGGGATATACCCTCCAAGTCACCTTTCCAAAGTGGTTTGCTGAAAAGACTGATTTATTGGCTGTTGGTGTGAAACTAGCAAACATTTAAGATCTGGCTAAGTGGCATTATGTGGACTTTCCTGAAGAATAAGATGCCCACTGGGGCGGGCAAAACACAGTAATGAAGAAATATGATAGGCTGAGTTGCACTAAAGCGTTGTGGAGGAGTGGAAAATGTTGTAAGCATCCGAATGAAAGGGAGCAGAGGAGAAATAAGGAATTAAAGAGGTGAAGAGAGGATCTTTGTGTAAAACGTTACTTTACAACTGATGCATGTTGAAACCTGCTCTTGTTTCAGTGCATGGAAAAGTACAGTGCACCGGGAGGGATTGGGAGCTCTAATTCCCACCTGGTCTCTAGGCTTTGCTATACTGTTAGAAGTCTTGGGAGAATGTGCAAGAGAATTTCAACCATCTTGCTGGATCCCTGCATACTTTTTCATTTTACTTAAATGTGGAGAAAAGGCAACACCCTCACTCTTAATTGGCTATCACACACTCCAAACTGACTATGTGACATTGTCACCAAGCGAAACTGGACTGAAGGCAGGGAGTTCTGGCGACTTATGAATGAGAACGAGAGGGGAAAAGGTGGACCATGGAGTAAAACTGCTGCAGCAGCGTGTGAGCGGATATGTAAGTACAAAACTGCCTAATGGCTTCCTAAGAATTCCCAGCTGTAACGCAGTGGGGTTGCTTTCATAATGTTTGGTAGTGTGGCACTCCCTGATGTTTGGAAAGGTAGATTAGCTTTTACTATGCCTTTAAAAAGTGGAAAGAACAAAGCCCTTGGGCCACCTTGTAAGTAACTGATCAGATGTCTCCACCTCCCTCTGGAATTTGGGAAGGTTTTTGCCTCCCTGAAAAACAATGAAAAGACTGGGCCAAAATTCTCATAGTGACCTCATGCAGTGGGGAAAAAAATAGAAAAAGGAAGAGAATTCCTGGGGCATCATAAGACTTTGAAGACAGGATCAGCGAACTCAGAACTCTAAATCTGCAAAGAAAATCAAATGCTGCAAATTTAAGAAGCCCTCACCCCCATCAATAGAAATTAAAGCTGGAGAAACTAGTCACATCTTCACCGCTGGAAGACTTTTGCTCCTCTTCCTTTTAAGCTTCCCACAATCTAAATCTGCCCTCATGTAACGCAGTTAGCTGCTTGGATTTCCCTCTGTGCCAATTGCTTCCAGAGTTAATTTCACTGCTGAATAAACTCCCCCTGGCCTTGTGGAATTATCAGGCTTCCTTGGCTTGGTAGCACCAGGGATGGTGCTTATTTGCTTGTTCTGTTATTTAAGCACACAGCAGTCCTCTTTAACACAGCAACTACAACTGGCAAAGAAGGTCTCCTCTTCACCAGAGCATGGACTTTAATTCATGCACCTGCTTACTTCTGCATCAGTGTTACAAGTGTAAGTTTGGGTCATTTGCACTAAAACGTCTGATCTCGACTCATAAAATAATCCAGTTAATGAAGTCTTCTCCCGACATCCATTAAGAGCCTGTAATACTAATTTTATGTTTAAAAAAGCAATATGTTTTTCAGGCAAATTAACATTACAGACTTGTAATGGGCTCTTAAAACTGCGATGAACTTGAGAAGAAGGCTTGAAGAATCCAGGGAGGGAAAATCCTTGGTTCCAAAGCCATCCTGCTATTCTAGCAAACCAATATCTATTTCCTTTCCATACACAAGGCTCTTTTCCCCACTTTTTCCTGCTATCCAGAGTGTGTTGTGTCTACATTCACAAATTTGCACAATTTAACATTGAAGCACACTGCTCAACTCCACAGGGAAACTGCCATCTTTATAGTAGGGCCATTGAAATCAATGGGCCATGCATTAGTCATGCATACATTCTATCTCAAGGATTTCACGGAACTACTCCAATTGACTAAATCCACACACACGTTAGGGGGAAGGTCAGTTGAGTGGCTAATGTGCATTCCAACCAGCCATCAAGCACATTTACCGCATCTCTTGGAGAGTGCGCGAACAATGGGATCTGGATGTGGGAGAAAGTCGTAACAGAGTCAAAGCAGTGTGGATTTCTGTGAATCCAGAGCATGATTACACAGCAGACCGCATATTCTATGCAGACCGGTTTTTATTTTCTTGAATTTTATGTCAATTGAGTCATAGAAATACCTGCATCGGAACATAAGAACAGCCATGCTGGGTCAGACCAAAGGGCCACCTGGTCCATCACTCTGTACACACAATGGCAGACCAGCTGCCCATGGGACCCCTCAGGCAGGATGAGTGCAAGACCGTCCCCTGCCCAACCTACCTCACGGGGTTGTTGTTGCAAGGATAAGAGAGCAGGGGAACGATGCAAGCCACTTTGATTTTCATATGGAAGGAACAAAGTTCACTCTCAGATGTGAATTTAAGTTAGAATGACCTTCAGGATGGAATTCGGAGAACTTGGATGAACTTGAGTTTTGCTAATTCACATATTCCAATGAAGTCTCTGCCAGAAAAAAAGCAGTTGCAACCCCTACTTCATCTCCATAAGTATGGTTGGACATACAGGGATTCAAAGCCAGACTTTTAAGCAGCAAACATTTTGGTTGCTCCCACATGTTCTTTCCATCATAAAGATGAAGGAATTAACTGATCTGCTAATGTTCTTATGAAAACTCTATATTCTTATAAGGGGAAGTATTTCAATATTGACTTCTGAGTTGCCTTTAACATGTTATTTTAATGTTTGCATGTAATTTACCTAGGGACTGCTTTATATTTAAGCAGAATACAAGTATCGCAAGTAAATAAATAAGAAAAAAGATAAATCAGTGCAACCAAAACTCTCGTTCATCTGTGCAGGGGACCCTTTCAATTTTGCATTGTACTTAAACATTGACTCTCTCTGGTTTTGCTCTTCAGGCATCTGAGTCAAATGCACCTGCCCAACACGGTCACTGCATAGACAGGCAAAACTGCAAGGAGCAGTGGGTCTCTGTCACTCACCCAGGCAGAGTTGGACTGATTGAGCTGGTTCAGCATGATGATGGAGGTGCAGCCGTAGTCATAGACCAGCCTCCAGAAGTCTGTGGTGGTGTTCTGCAGCGGGTGCAAGGTCACGATGAAGGCAGCACTCTTTGTGTAGCTCTAAAGGAGGGCAAGGAGAAAGGGGAGAGAGGCAGAGGAACACATCAGAGGCAGGCCTGCTTCTCTGGGGGTTAGCAGGAGCAAGACTGGACGGGAGGGCCAGAAATAGGATTGCAACTGTTTCTTCTTGGGCGAGTTGTGGGGAATCCACTAAATGCTGCGCCATCTTCCTGCCAAAGGGAGGAAGCACAGGGCCAGCATCACATGTAGCAAGACTCAGCCCCTGCCGAGGTGTACTAAGTAATTGGTGTTGCCATCCCCATCCAGAAGTGTGGTAGGAGAACTCCAGTCTGCATGCTGGCTGGGGCTGATGGGATCTGTGGTCCAAAAATTATCTGTGGGCACCATGTTGGGTCAAGCTGTCTCACACGGTATTCAACATGATTGGATCTCTCTGGAAACACCAAAACCATAGACAGCACTATACTATAAAATAAATAAGCAATGCATACATGAGGACACAAAGAGAAAGCAATGCAAAGTGAGGATGAGTGAAGCAACACAGTCCCTGCTCACCATTCCCATGTCCCAGTGTGTCGGTCATTTTTAACCCATGGCTCCCCATGCATGGATCTCACTCCCACACCCCATCCTATGTCACCCTTCAAGCACACTCATTTGCTGATGATCCACATTTTGAGTTTCTAAAGCAAAAGGAAAGATAAGGGACTAGGGACAGGGTTGATATAATCCCCTTTGAATATCCTGCAGAACAAAACTTACAGGGGGTAGAAGATGGACATTCGTCCACCATTATAAATCTGAACTAAGCTGATGCCCACCAAAAAGCCTTCCTCAAATAACTCATTGAGCTTCCTTTATTATTGATTGAATTTGTTTGAGAGCCACCTGTCAGCATCACACTCTCTGTTATGACTCTTCACCAGTTGCTAAAGGAACCCTTAAGTGATGGCTTGGGCCATTATCATCCTAATCCTTTCAGAGGTAAAGCTTGTGATAGGCAGGCAAAATAAAGCAAACAGCTGGTGCAAAACAATCTCATGAAAATGCTGATATAAACCATGTGTGAAGATCATTGGTATGCAGCTTTAGGACCTCCAGAAGTTTTGGGCCGACAGCTCCCATGACCCCTCAAGCTTTTGACTATAACTAGAGCTGATGGTAGTTGTAGGTACTGATGCACATGCTGTGTTAAATCTGCCTATTTCCATTTCACAGATGGTCAGGTGTCTTCCCTTCCCTCATCCTCTCATTGACAGAAGCAGATTTTCTTTTCACTTGCACACATTATATGCAGTTACACAGAGTTGCATAAATGGCATTCCAAAATTGTGTGATTCCTCCCATGAGCAAATCCCCCCATGCACATTTATTCCTTTACTGAAGAAGTCCACATTTTTCTTACTCCAAATATTTAATATTTTTCTACTACTAGATTGGCATAACCTCCTAGAAATTTAAAACACAAACTGTCTACTCGTCCCTGCAGTCCATCTAATGCAGGAAAAAGTAGTCCACTATGGAATCTAAAGGTCAGAGTACTAGAAATCCAAACTCATTTGAATCTATATCATCATCATCATCACATCCTTAATTGTAGGCTCCTCTCATTTTAGCTCAGGGAGGAAGGCAAATAATTAGGCACAAAGAAGGGGAAGAGGAGGAGGTTCTATGCTGGGAGCATCAGGACCCACCAAGAGCCCCCAGCCTAAGCCACCTCTCCTGCAGCTAGCATTGCTTTCTGTGACTGATAGGGGGGATTCTCCCAGAGCTATCTGAGCACGCCAGGCCCCTCTTCAGCCACAGGTCCTGGAAGTGGTGGCCTTAAGCCACATAATTCTAGCCCTGTGATACTTGCCATCCACGAGAAAACACATGGCCATGATTCAGGGAAGAACCTCATTGCGGACTGTGAAAATGGATGAGTGAGCACAGCCTAGTACTCAGTGAGGATCTCCTATCCATCCAACCTCTCTCTCTCTCTCTCTCTCTCTCTCTCTCTCTCATTCTATCTCTATATTTGCTCATCTCCATCCAGTAAAAAAATATGTTTTCTGTTCTTGTGCTCTCTCTCTCTCTTTTTAAATATAATTCTAAATAACAATCACCAGGAAACAATCACCTTTGCTCTAGGAAGAAGCAAGCGATATGTCTAACTGATGGTTTGTTCTCTTTTCTCCCACATTTAGATGTTTCCAAAAATAAGGGCACAGAAAGAAAGTGGATTGCAGCTTAATTACCATATAGCCAATTAGGCCTGTTATGTCTCCTGGGATTGGGGTGGGGCTGGGGGTGGGGTTAAAGGAAGAGGAAGAAGAGAGCAGGAGGAGGAGGAAGAGCAAACAGCAGCAAGTGGGGAAGTGCACAGAAGCATGGCAGGCACCTTTACAGCTTGTTTCTAACAAACATTTTCTTGGGAGAGGAAAGAAGATGGTCTGGAAAGGAAAAGGCAGAAAAGTTCCTTAACATCAAGGTAAAAACTCGGTGATGCTTGTTAGCCCTTCAAAAGAAGCAAAGGCTTTTAGGGGCACCTGCAGAGAGAGAACAGACAAGCTTTCATTCCCCTGTTCTTCGCCTTCCTAAAGAATTCTTGAAACGATACTTACAAGCTCAAGTGATAAATTCCTGGCACCCAGAAAATATCTCCCCTCTTCCAGATTTTGCTCAAACTCTGTTACAGGGTCCATGTTCCCCTTCCTTCTCTTGGGTCTCCCCCCACTCACCAATTTCCCTGGTAACTTGGACCAGCATTTCAGGGTGGGTGACTTATCATATATTATTTCAAAAATTAAATCAGTAGCCAAGCATAGTTAAAGTGTGGAAGGACTACCATTTCTTCCCCAGATTGTTTCTTAAGTTGAGGAGAAGCTTCAGCTTGTCTCTTCCATCAAAGGCATGAGGACAACCAAGACAGAAAGGGGAGTCACAAGTCAGAGAAATGGGAGAGGTGGATTCTGTTCGGCAGAGTGGGAAGCATCAATAGATTTCAAATGGTGCAAGGCAAGGCAAGGCCAGTGGCAGGTGGGGAGGGATGGAGCATCCTCAAGGAAGGCACAGCCTGGACAGGACCACTCATGTTGGAAAGGGGGGGGGGGGTCCAGAACACTTTCTTAACTTGGGATGGATGGATGGATGGATGGATGGCAGGCAAGGCAAGGCAAGGCAAGGCAAGGCAAGGCAAGGCAAGGCAAGGCAAGGCAAGGCAAGGCAAGGCAAGGCAAGGCAAGGCAAGGCAAGGCAAGGCAAATGGCAGGTGGGGAGGGATGGAGCATCCTCAGGGAAGGCACAGCCTGGACAGGACCACTCATGTTGGAAAGGGGGGTCCAGAACACTTTCTTAACTTGGGATGGATGGATGGATGGATGGATGGATGGATGGATGGATGGCAAGGCAAGGCAAGGCAAGGCAAGGCAAGGCAAGGCAAGGCAAGGCAAGGCAAGGCAAGGCAAGGCAAGGCAAGGCAAGGCACAATAAAACAAAACAAAATAAAATAATGTTTATGGGCACAGGAGTATAAAAAGGAAAAAAGAGTGACATTTGAAAGACAGCGGTTGTTGACTGTGGACATGGAATGAGCATATGGGTCATGATAATCTACGCAAATCTTTTGCTGCTTTGATGGCAACAAATGAATCCACCAAAAAGCCCTTTTCCCGGCCCATTCGGTTTCCTTTGAAGCTGAACAATATGCTCCATTTTCAAGGTGATCTCCCCAAGCAAACAGACCCTTTCTAGCTAATTAAAGCAGGTCAATGAATATTTTAGCCCTTTTGCTTTGCTTTGCCCTTTTACCTGAAAACTAGCATTGTATTTTTCATTCATTTGCATAAAGCGCGGAGGCCAGGCATGCTGGATGGACAAAAGACTTCTGCACAAGTGTGCTCATTCTAGATGGGGCTTCATTGTATGGGAGGATGTGATCAGAAAGCTACAATAGATACCTTTTATCTCTGGAGAGAGCCTGGGGAGAGCACAGATGCAGAAGTGGCTTTGGGAAGTCTAGTCTCAGTGCCCTAAACATGATGGACGCTATTCTAAAGCTGAAGAAAATTTGAAGGGGAAGTGATTCTCATATTTCAAAGGAGCATGCCTTTTGCTGCTTTTTACAAACTATTTAAAAACAAAACTCCCAGAATATTTCTGTCCCCCTCCAATATACCTCCAGCATATTACACAAAGGGCTTAATCAGGATATTCTTATTCGGAAGGAAAAACTAGGGTGGGCATGTGCACCCAAGAGCACAGTCCTTTCCCAGGAAACAGTCCTCTTTTTGAAGGGATCTTTTCAGAGAATCATCCTCTGTTTGAAGGGCTGGTCTACCTTCTAAATAAGTAAAGAATGAATAAAGACATTCTGGCTAAAAGATAAAGAAACAGCAATAATTTGCACCTCAGTGGTAGACTGAGAAGGTGGCCGCATAGAACACCTTGTCCCAGCCTTCCATGCTATGTTTGGCCTTTCTATGTACATTATAATATATATTTTAATTTCGCATGCCTTCATTCTAATTTATGCAAAATTCATTCAAATTTATGCAAAAATATGCAAAGCATTGCCCTCTTTTTGTCAATATAATTCATGAGTGGCCATCCTATGACCACAGTCTTCAAATGATTTTGGAGCACCCTGATTTAAGTCTTAGTGTACATCAGTTTCATTTTAGGGCAGAAATGAAGCATCAACCCTAATGCCAAAGCCCTTATCATAGGATGCAAAGAAGCTTTTTTTTTAGGTGATGTGGGGTGAAAATGTCCCATTTTTTCTTTTTTCTTTCCACGAGAAAGAAAAAAAAATCCCCAACCTCTGCAGTAGAAAGCGACTTCAACTGCATTGCAATAGATGAACAGTTATATTATCTGAATTGCTAAGACTGAGTTGTTCAGCCTTTCCCAACATGATTTCCTCCAGATGTGATGGACTACAACTCCCAGTAGGAGGCTGGGAATTGTAGTCTACCTGGCACCTGGTTGGGAAAAGTTGAACTAGTTTGTCAATTGTTTTCTGTACCTTTTGTTGTTGTTGTATTTTTAATTTATTTTATTTTCACATGTATATCTCACCCTTTTGCCCCCCTTGCAAGGATCCTAAACTGGCTTTCCTGACCCTCCTCTCCATGACCCTGTGAGGTAGGCCAGGCTGAGAGTGACTGGCCCAAGGTCACCTGGTGGGCTTCATGGGCCCACCAGACAGGGACTAGAACCTGCTTTTTCGGAGTTCCACTCCAATACTCAAACCACTACACCACAGCCCACACCATCAAATTATGCAATATATTCTCATTTTTACTGGTAGTTCAATAAAACTGCCCATGTATAACATTTGAATTTTATTAGGTGTGCTTTACTTTTTTTCATCAAACATTTCAGGTCAAATACTTACAGTGTATTCAGATCAAAATATATATAAAAAAAGGAAAGTGCATAAGCATTTGCTTACTAAATGCAAGTTAAAATAAGCATACTAAATTCAATCCCTGGAGTATCTGAAACTTTTCTGATACTAACTTGAAAATTTTCCAAACCAAAATGACCTTGTACAAACTGGCCTAACATCCAGAGAGTAATTTTTCTGGAAAATTTCCTAATTCAACATTTTCCAGAAAATCCACATCACTACTGGAGATTCCTATCCCATAGTCTCCAATCCTATGGAGTCCCTGGGCATGCTGGACAGACATAGGCATCCCTTGGGGGACTTCCTGCTAAATATGTGAGCCTTAGAGGAGGTCCACAAGGGCATGGAGACATCAGCGTGCAGCCAAGTCAGGGTATGTGATCCCCTTCCTGTTTATTTAGCGTGTGTGTGCTGGGAATGAGGAATCGAAAGGAGCTAAAGGACATTGCTATCTGCTCCTTCTGCTTTGCTGTCATCTGAATCTAGACTTTGCCTCCCACTCCTTGGAAAGCAACGTGTTGGCAGCTTTCATCTCAGATGCTGCCCAGTCCCTCTTCTCTGGGCTTTGTTAGACGGATTTACAATAACCCAGTGTGTCATTCTGGCTCGTGCAGTCACGACGAACTTGTATGCATAATGAATTTTATTTCCCCTGGCTTAGAAGGGGAAAAAACTGTGAGTCTCTCTCTCTCTCTCTCTCTCTCTCTCTCTCTCTGTTTGTGTGTGTGTGTGCGTGCGTGCGTGTGTGTGTGTGTGTGTGTGTGTGTGTGAGAGAGAGAGAGAGAGAGAGAGAGAGAGAGAGAGAGAGAGAGAGAGAGAGAGAGAGAATATTCTTCAAAAAGCAGCCACCAAATGTTTCTCACTGCACTCTCTTGCCCATCAAAAAAACAGCAGCAACAACAACAGAGAAAAACATTTTTATTTTACTTTATTTTTAGCACAGGTAAGAAGACAAGTTGGCTCTCTTACTGAAAATGGGGAAAATGTACAGCATAGAAAAATTTAGGCATAGTGACAGGAGAGCCTAGGAAGAGTGGAAAAGAGTTATATGAGGTCAGGTTGGTGTCTAGTCTAGGCTGGTCTACTCTTGACTACCTGCACCTTTTCTGCAGCTTAGACACCATCTGCCACCTCATCCTTTTCTCTGGAAATGTGAGGGTTAAACCCGGAATCTTATGCACATGCAGCATACGCAGAACCACTGAGCTCTCTAATAATGCTCAAACACGAGGAACTAAGAGAGCATCCAAAATTGCGGAACAGAATGTTCCTCACCAGTACTTTAAAGGTCTGTACAGGCTTCCAGTGTGTTTCTGGGTAAAAGTCGAAACACTGCTCTGAACCAAGGATGCCCTAAACCAGTTTGGGACCACATGACTTGAAGGATTGTCTGTTATGAGCTTCCCTGAGTACTAACATTTTCAGGAGAGGCAGAACGGTGAAGCCCCCTTCCTAACCATGCCTGACAAATCCCAAGTTCAACTATACCTCTGATGAATGAAAAGGCCAGGCCCCATCCTTAGAGGGACCTCTGAGGAGCCACTGTGCCCTCAGGTAAGCACGGGAAAGCTTTGCTTCTGATCAGGGCCCCATCCTTTCATGGGTACCATGTCCAGAGCGGCATGTGGGTGGTGGGTGAGGCTAAAACCAAGCTCCATTTTGCTTCCCATTGAACAGGCAGCCAGAGAAGGACCGGGACACTCTCGCAAGGGGCTAGACTTCATGATCTACCTTTCAGATTAGGCTGAGGGCTGCATATTCCCCATCCTGGACCTGGAGGGAAAGAAAGTCCAGGAGATGGGTGAATTGCCACCATAAATATCCCAATGGTGGCTCTTCAGTGGGGTCCCTGAGGAACCATCCTGCTCTAAGTGGATGCGAGAAGAAGAGGGTGAAGCTCACACTCAGAAAGGAGAGAGAAAGCAGTTGTACAGAAGACAAAAGGGAAAGGGGGGCAGCCCGGGCCAAGAGGAGGAGAACAACATTTGCAGCCCTGAGTATAATCTGGTCCAGGATGAGCTCATTCCCACCCACGTGGAACACTGAGCCCATCGCCACAGTCCTGCCTTTTCCCTCCAGCCTCCCAACCCTAAATTTTCTTTTAGGATTGTGTGTTTTAGATCGCAAGTGGGGACTGCCGGATTACTGATTTGCATACCGTGCTCTGGGAGCCCTCCTTGGCTGAAGAGTAGGGTAAAAAGACTTCAAATAAATAATAAAGGAAAGATGCTTCCGTTACATTGGATTTTGCCTTGTGCGTCAGAAAAACAATGCAAATATCTTAAAAAGCAGCAACCCTTGTATACTTTGGCACCTTGGGGAGGAAATGCTAAATTTTATCCACTACAGGCATGTATTTGTGGGGAAGGGGGTCACATGGTGATGGGATGCTGGCTGCCCCCCCCCGCCCCCGTAGGAGAAGGCAAAAAAAGAAGCCATTCAGGTAAACCCCACAAGATTTTGAGCAGCTGAATCTTTTTTTGGACACCTGAAATTTATTGGGAAGGGGAGAGACAGTGCCCTCTATCCCACCATTCAAATTTCAGTTTCCATTTTTAGTGGAAAATTTAACTGAAGACCTTTGACTCCACTGTGTTGTCCATGGATTTACAGAATCAAATTTCAACTTGTCATTGTCTCCCCACCAACCTTGGGACAACAAACGAGTGCTTTCTGAAATTATCTGCTGCTTAAAAATGGCAACCAAATCTAGCCTTCAGGACTGCCTTGACGTCCTTCAAAGCTTGGCTTGGTTCCCATGATGCAGTCTTAGAAACCTAGAATTGGGCACCAGGGACCCGGAAAGAGATGGACTGTTCCTCCTCCACATCCCCTGGTCTCAGACAACCACCGGGCACGGACTTACGTCAGTTAAGGCCGCGTTGATGTAATTGTTGCTGTCTCCATCCATGGAGATCAAGAAGGGGAGGCACCGGTCTGGAGGCAGCACATCCATACTGCGATTCTTCTCCCGGTTGCGTGGCAGAAGGGCGATGCTGCACTCCTCCACGTCCAGGTGGGGTGTTACGGAATTCAGAGTCTGCTGGACACAAGGAAACCGGGTCAGGCAGCATTTCATAGTGTTAAACAGGAGAGAGTGCTAGAGCGACAGGCGTCCTGCTTTTAAATGGTCTCTTAAAGTCTCTCTTGAAGGGACAGCATGGTCACGACCTACTTTAGGAGGAGGCATAGCAGAGATGCCTTTTGCTTTGTTTGATCAGGGTTTACCCAGATTGTACCTTCTGGACCAAACAGAGAAGCAGGCACAATCTATGGCACACCTAAATCATTTTTGGACGTGCACCTGGGGATGTATGAGGAATCCATTTGGAGGATAGAATCCACTGGATTCCATGGGCTTGGTTCTGTAGACTGCAGGCTACGTTGCATCAGCTCTGGCTTGGATTTCATGGGGTGCTTGCTAGGAACTGACTCTGCTGCACAAGTAGTGTCTCTCTTCCATGCCACCTGCTGTCACTCTGGGCTCAGTTCACTTTGCAAAACCGGGCTGAGCGTGGAAGGATGTCCAGTGAATTCCAGCAGAGTTTGTTCCGACCCTACTTGCAACATATCCCCAGAATAAGAACTTTTGGAAAATGCACACAAATAGAATTTAATCAACAGGAAAAGAATGTATACATTTCAAAGATGCACATAACTGAGGCAGAGAGTTGGAAAAGGGTACATAAAATATGCACAGATTTCCATGTAAGAATTAAAAAGAACAGCACTCACAATGGAAAAGTCAGACTGAGCTGCAGGACAGAATTTGGAGAACTTGGTTGACCTCAAGTTTCACTGCTTCTCCAGCACCCAGAGGCAAGTGTTGTATTTGTGAAAAGCCTCAGGTTTGGGTTTTTCCTTTAATTTGTTACAATTCCAGCAAGAGAGGACCATTTCAGCATAGGAAGCTGCCTTATTTTGAGACAATCCATCTAGCTCAGTAGTGTCTCTGCCAGGGCTACTGCACATTTTGCAGTCTGAGATCTGAATTCTATTTCAGGGAAATTCTTAGTGGCTGAACTTCAGGAGAGGGTGAGACAAAGGCCGAAGGGGTGTAGCTAAAGGCAAAAGAGATGCAGCCAAAGTATTTTAGCCTACAGCTCCTCCTGCCAGTACTAAGCAACTGCACAAAAGCTAGGAATCCACCAAATGACCAGCTGAGCAAAATGAGAGGGAACTAGACAAAGGGATGTGGCTTCTGGGGTACCCAGAGGGCCAGATTGGGCCCCAGTGCTTGCTGCCCTGCACCTCTGGTCTGAGTGACTAGTTGACCATGGAGCCTTTTCCAGGTACATAAGCTCTTTCAAAGGTGAGCCAGGGTGTAACACTCCACTGAGGAAGCTTGGAACACTCTTGCCCCATCAAATTGAAAGGCACCACCCCATGCTATGGCCAACCCAGGCTTCCCTGATTTCAGCTTGACCACAGCAATTGAGTTTGCTCCCATTTCTAGCCAGCTTTCCCTGCCAACTCCCTTCCCAATAGTCAGTGCCCTGCGCGCGCGCACACACACACACAAACACAATTAAAGGTAAAATTCCCCTGCTTGGAATAAGCGTGAAGTGGGCAGAGAGCGGAGAGTAATCCCCTCAGTTTTTTCAACCCCCCTTATGATCACAACAAAGTACTCATACTCCTGCCCTCCCCTGGACATTCCCAAAGAAAACTTCCCCAAACTCCAGTGTGTGCATGAATATGGGCACATTTTCATGTGGGGGAAAAATACGGAGACTGCAATCATCCAGGACATGAGACAGGATGAATTTCCAAGTCCAATCTGGAGAGGGTCAAGGCATGTGAGTTTTGTTTGCAGCCAGTATGGATGTTGGAGAAATCTGTGACAGATTTCTGTGACAAATGAATTCAGAATTCTCAGGGTCGGCCTTGCAGGTTCTGCCTCACAACAGTTTTTCTAGGTCATGTGAAGTCAGGAGATCTTACAGGCTGATTATTTGTATATATCTTTGCGTAAATTTGCCCAATGAAAAATATGCAAAATGAAAACACTGATCAAAAATGCACAACTCCCCTTAAATAACATAACAAAGCATGTGTGGGGTGAGGAGCTTGTACAGTTTTGGCCATTTGCTCATGAAGGCATTTGTGCAAATTCTAAGTCCACAAATCTGCAGATGATATGGCCAAATTGCCCCGTAATCTACAAATCCCCAGCAGGGTAGCTTTCCCTCTGTTGGCGCATTCTACTACCTGGGTAAAGCACTGCAAATTTGCTTGTTCTCCAGACAGCATTCCTGCCTGCAAATTAGGTGGCATCCTAACTCAAACAGATGTTTCTTGCAGTCATTATCTTGGGTCAATGGGCTCCTCCTAGATGCAGATGGAGGCAGCGTCCTCCCCTGGGGAAAAACTCCAGCTTTCATTCACTCACCTGGAACTCCTCCCGCAGCTGTGAAGAGTTGCTTTGAGGATCTATCCTGACCATCTCTTTGTATGTGGCCTTGAACTCGCTAACAGGGATGCTGGTCTCACCACACAGGCAGGCTTCCAAGATGGCGTCGTGGATGAAGACATATTGCTCCTTTGGCAGAAGGGAAAAACATGGAAGGGCTCTGCATGAATCTTCATTTAAAATATTGATATACCACCTCTTAGTCCTAATCTTTGGGAGTGCTTACAGAAGAATTAGAAAGAACATTTATTTGTTTGTTTGTTTAAAACATTTCTATCCCGTCCTTTCTGACGAACGGTTCGGGGCAGCTTACAATAATTTAAAAATATGACAATAATACAATAATTAAAATGGTAGATATTAAATCAACATAAAACAACACATCATAAAACTAAGAGAGAGAGATGAAAGGAAGAAAAAGAATAGAAAATGAGACTGTGGGAAATGATCTTAAAACTTCTAAAAACATAATTATTAAAATAGGCTGGACTGAAAAGCCTCATCCCTGAAGATGGAAAACTGCAGCTTTTCTCCCCTCATGAGACCTTGAGTTTCAAAACTGAACTGTTGTACATGGTTTGCCAACAAATATCATGACAAAAAAGTGTGGTTTTCCCCATTATGAAAGCACCTTGCAGGCTGCAGGGTGCCCTGAAAACTCTTTCCCATGCAGAGGGTTGGGAGACATAAAAAGTGGGCTCATGATCTTGGCAATTGTGTGACCTTGATATATTGAAAAGAAATGGGGCCGTGCTTGAAGACACAACTGACAATTGTCCAGCCTCCACAGAATGGGAGAGGCTACAAAATATCAGGAGAGGGTGGGAGAATCTTCATTAAATTAATCCACTGGGGGTGCTGCTTTGCCAAAATTCTGCAGGCTAAACTTGACGTCCAAATGGTACAATGACATGCTTCAAGGACTTGAAAGGTTGTCACAAAGAGGAAGGCTGGGATCTCCTTTGGATCATCCCTGGACATGGAATAATGTGTTCAAGTTACAGGAAGCCTGATTCTGGCTAGATATCTGAAGTGTCCTGATTGTTAGAGCAGTATGACAATGGAGGTTGTGGGTTCTCCCACACTAGAAGCATTCAGCCATCTAAGAGGGATGGCTTAGTCTGGAGTCCTTCAGTGAGCAGTGGGTTGGATCCAATGGCCGTCTGGCCCCTTCCAATTCTCCTATTCTATGATTCTATGGTGTTTGGAGAATCTTCATGAACTTGAGTGTCTCTCATTTGCCCATGCCTAGTTTTGTGAAGCTGTATGTAAAGATCACTTGAACGTTGCCAGCTTGGTGTAGTGTTTGAAGTGCATTGTGCTGCCCAAGATGGGTAATGCAAATGAAGCTGAATTTCCTGGAAATTGGTTCTTTCATGTCCCTGCGGTTTTGATACCTCAGGTGCATTGGAAAGAGTCATAATGAAATGGAGCACTGCCATCGTGCTGAAGACTGTGCATCTGTTTCCAAGTGTAAATACATATATCTGTGGAACCAATGACCTGGCCTTCCCACAGCAGAGGCATTCAAGATGCGGCTGGGCAGCTCTCCATGAGGGATGCTTGAACTCTTTACTGAGCAGGAGGTTGGACCTGATGGCCTTCTTGGCCCTGTTCATCTCTACTATTCTATGGGCCATTCCCTTTTTGAATGTGGAACAAAGAGTACCACAAAAAGTACGGCAAGCAAAGAAAAAGAGTCCAAGGACCACATGGTACCATTTTCCCCTGCCCCCAAAGCTCACCTCTGTCTGTATCATGTTGATTCTCCGTGAGCAGAGTGTTTTCACACAGTTGTAAATGTCCACAACACCTTCACATTCGGCCATATCCAGCATCACATCAAGGACAATGTAGCAACCTGTCCTTCCTGTACCAGCGCTGCAGAAAGTCCGGGGTGGGGGGAACAGAACGACAGAGGCTGAAACACCAAAGCATGGTACTTCCTCCTCCTCACAGCAAAGTCATGCTAGCCCTGGTCTATCCAAACAAGCTAGGATCAGTATACCCAGTCTGAATGAACAAACCAGGCAGAATTTTCCTGCAAGAGTCCCTTCACAGAGATGCCTTAAAGAACCAGTTCTCCCTTCTATCTCTCTCTCTTTTGCAAGTACACACACACACACACAGAGAGAGAGAGAGAGAGAGAGAGAGAGAGAGAGAGAGAGAGAGAGAAACACAGCTGTTACAGACTGGATTTTTTTTTTTTTACAATCAGCCCCAGCCCTGGTTCACATTGACTTCCTGTACTGCAGCTTGCCTAGGCAGCTGACTCCAGGCTCCCCCTCGTCAGAGGATCTTCCCATCAAAGCCACCACAAAATCCCTAACGCAGCAAAGTGGAACCACTTCTCCCCCTTTCCACTCAGGTTCCAGCACTCAAATATACTAATTTCTGAGGCTGATGAATCACTTGCCATGATTATCAATGATTACAGGCTGGGGAAACTAATTATGCTTGTTGTCCCTGATGAATGAATACTGATGAAGCAATTGGTCAAAAGAAAAAGACGTGTGGGTGAACGTGTGTGTGTGTGTGTGTAGCAAGGAGAAATTCCCGAGCTTTCATCCATCAGTCCTTTCTTGTTTAGCGCAGAAAGAGCCCTGATACGCAAGGAATAGAGAATGCCTGCAAAGCATGGGTGGGAAGACGGTTCTGTGCCGTACCATAGCCCAAAGGCTGCTTTGCTAGCAAAAACTGAAGACCAGGTGTAAGAACACCAGTGCAACATCACGGAAGTCAGTTTCCAGCAGAGGAGCAACCAGAAATGCTTCAGTTCAGTGAAATTCTCCCAATATCACTTCAGTGATTGGAACATCTCACTCCTATTTTGGATGTGTTCAGATGGGGGAAAAGTGTGGATATAGAACAGGAAAAGGTGTGCTTTGCCCCCCAAAAGTGTGCACACTTTTGTTGACTATGCAAATTTTTAGTCTGCATTTTTAAAAGTGCATTTTTCAAAATGGTACACCTTTCTCAAATGGAATACAAGTTTCAGAAGTTGCAAACATTTTCAGAGAAGATGAAGTCCTGTTCAGATACCTTCCTGCCATTTGCCAGATAATATTCTACTCTTGGCTGGTTTGGGCCATGGAAGAAGGTTATGTCATTCTTGTTCTAATTGTTATTATTGCATACAAAGAGAACACAGCCCTCAACCTGATGCCCTCCGGACATGTTGGATTGCCATCCCATCATACCCAGCAACATGGCCATTAGCCAAAGCATTGCATACCTTGACATGTCATGTTATGGAAGCCCGTTGCTGTTGTTTATACACACACTGCCTCCTTACCTGCAGTGGATCACTATGGGTCCTGCATCAGGAGGTGTTGAAGCCTTCACCCTGCGGATGAATGCGAGGAGTCCAGTAGCATGGTAAGGCACACCATGTTCTGGCCACGATGTGAAGTGGAATTGCTTTACCTCGTGTCTTGCTGAGTAGCCCCTCTGCAAGAAGATGCGAGAGAGATATAGAGTAAGGGTTACAGACGTCCCCACCCCCTCAGGAGACTGAGGACAACACTTCCAGAATCCTTGTCATCCAATATTCTTCTTGGTTCTGGAGTTCCAAACTCTCTACTCCCTTTTCTAAATTCTAAACCCGAGTCATTAGTCATGCTGTTTAAAGCAGAATAGGGGGAACTCTGTTGAGCCACAATTACCATCGGCCCCAATTGGGGGTTGGTGGGGGTTGGAGTGCAACCACTTTTAGAGGGTCATGGTTTTCCCATCCCTGCTTTGAAGTCCTAAATAGCATTGGTCAGGATGCCTTAGGAACCAACATCATCTTGTACCAGCCTGGCCACTACCTAAGATTTGATGGAGGGATGTAGGTTTCCTCATTAATAGCTTCAGAATTTCTAGGTGGAGAAATCCCAGACCCCTGATTAAGGGGCCCTTCTCTAGACTGGAGTGGCAGTGAAGGCGTTGGAATGATTAGAAGCCAGCTATTTCCCCAAGGCTCTCAGGAACTCCACTTGTAACAAGGGTACGATTTAACATTCCTCCAGATGAGGGGAGTGGATTATAGTCCTGGGTGTCCCAAGACACCATCCAACTGCTCCATAATTGTCATGATGTTTTCAACTCCTGTCTTGTAGATGGAAATAATTGTCCTTTCCCTGTGTAGCTACATGGTGCTTAGCCTGAAATTAAACTTTCAAGAATGACCATATAAATAAAGGGCTGCCCTGAAATATTATTTACAAAGAGGGCGTCCTTCACTGAAAGAGTGTATATAACTAAAGAAAGCCCAGATGGTCAGATCTTGAGCACCAGGCTGCAATTCAGCAGAAGGGATTTGTATTTGTGTGTATTAAAGTGGCTTTTTAAACTAAGCAGCTGATGGTTTGGGACAGAGAATGGAAGCTCTCACAGAAATCTCTCTGCCCAGGAGAGAAGAAAGACTTTCACACAAACACAGAGCAGGGAACGTTTGTTCCACTTTTGTTCTACCTTAAGCTGCTCACCAGGAACAAGGAACCTTTTCTTATTATTACATCTCTATCCTCTCCTTCCCTGCCTTTTGTGAGGAATCAAAGGCAGCTTTCATGATGCTCCCCCTGTCCAAGTTATAAGAAGCAGCATGCTGGATTGGACCAAAGGTACATCTCATCCAGCACTTGGCAAACCAGCTGCCCACAGGATCCTTCAAGCAGGATGGGTGCAAGACCTCCTCCTGCCCAAGCTCCTCAGCAACTGGTGCATCCAAGCTTGCCTCTCTGTTAAAGAAGGCAGCACATAGCCACTGAGAGCCTCCCCCTTCATGAATCTGCCCAATCCCCTGTTTGTTATAGTTTAGTTGCAAAGTTGTGCCTGACCCATCACGACCCCATGGACAACATTTCTCCAGGCTCTCCTGTCCTCCACCATCCTTCGGAGTCCACCCAAGCCCATACCCACTGCCCCAGTGATTCCATCTGGCCACCTCATCCTCTGCCGTCCCCTTCTTCTTTTGCTGTCAATCATTCCCAGCATCAGAGTCTCCTCCTTTGAGTTGTTCCTTCTCATTAGGTGGCCAAAGTATTTAAGTTTCAATCCCCTGTTAAAGCCACCCAAATTGGTGGCCATCACCACTTCCCAGGGCAGTTTAATTATACACTGTGTGAAGAAGTACTTCCTTTAATCTGTCCTAAATCTCCCACCAAACAGCTTCATGGGGTGTCCCCAGGTTCCAATGGCATCCAGAAAAAGGCCTCCTTCCCCATTTTCTTCACAGCATGCATTATTGAAACACCTCTCTCCTGTCTCTCCTAATTCACCCTTTTTCTAAGTTGAACAGTCCCAATTGCCACTGCTGCTCCTCATGGGGAAGCTGCTCCAGCCCCCTGTTCAACTTTGTTGCCTTTCTCTGTATTTTTTTCAGTCCAATGATGTCCTTTTTCAAATAAGGTGACCAGAACTGAACACAATAGTCCAAGTGCAGCCAAACAATAGATTTATATAAGGGAAGTAAAATTTTGGCAGTTCTATTTTGTATTCCGTTCCTAAGAATGTCCTGCATGGAGTTTGTCTTTTTCACAGAAGCGGCACACTGGGCCGGCATTTTCATCAAGCTGCCCACTCCTACCCCAGGATCCCTTTCTCGGAACGACCTAGTGAAGCAGAGAGTGAGCGGTTGGCCCACGGTTGCACAGGACCAAGCATCCATGTTTGAAAGTGTAGACCTGCACAAGAGCACACTTCCAAAATCTCATTTTGCCCTCTCCCAAGCAACATTTCACACTCTAGCCTATGGGCTGCAGGAGGACCCACTTTTTGTTGGAGGAAAATACAACTACTCTTCAATTGGACCCAAATGAGTTCTTAAAATGTGCATTTTTCCTCAAAAGATAACCACATTGAGGAACATGGACAAAGCAAACTAAGAGTCAAGGAGAAATAGAAAGAACTTCAGTGAGCTTGACTATGACCCGTCCTTACACAGATCTCATTCACACATACAAACTGTCCCCAGCAGCCAAAACAGCAGGGATGAGATAGTATCTTCCACTCCTACTTGGATAACCAGCAACATAGCTACACAGAGGAGTGTGTCAAATTTGGAATCATGATGACAGAGCTTACCCTCTCGAGAGTGAATGTCCTCACCACGTATTCTGCCAGTGTTTCAGACTTCACCTGGGTGATTTTGATGTCTCTGTACATCTCTGAGTCGTCAGGCCAGTATTTGGAGCATTTGACCTGCAAGCAGCAACAAAACAGACCATCATGTGCATGAATGTGTGTGTACCCGAGTCCAAAAACATCCACCAGGAGCCTCTGGCGCAGTGCAAAACCGCAACGGTCTCTTACCCTTCCCACTTCCACCAGCTTTGTTATCATGACTATGCTGGAACAGTGCTCTTGCCACACCATCCTCCAGAAGTCGTAGACCATCTCCTGTTTGGGCCCTAGAGCACAGAGAGTGAGAGAACTCAATTGCAGAAGTAAAGGGAGCCATGGACCCATCAAAACATGGTGATGCTTGCAGCCACTTGTCTGCTGCCAGGCACACTGTGAGTGGCTTCAGACTGCTGAAGCAGGCACACCTGTGCCTTCACTGCCTGGGAGATGCTTTAGGGGTGGCAAGACTCCATGCCTCTTCTGGTGTTGCCTGCCCCCTACTCTTCCTAGGCAAGTAGGGGGAATGGAAGAGGAGGAAGAGGAGAAAGGGGACAGGGACATTGGAGTGTGATGGGCAAGAAGTAGATAGAAGAAAGGTTTACCTTGGGTGGCTATGAAGTGGTTGGATCTGTGATAACCCTGCGAAGGAATAAGAGGATCAGTTATGTCCTGATGGGGAAAAAATGGTGGAAACACCACTTGCATTCACTTAGAACACAATTTTCTTCATGTGCTCTGAAGTCTTCTTCTCTTACAAGCTGACCTCAAGGACTATTCCCCCCAGTGTAGTCTGAGCATGCAGAGAAAGGGCTGCCCAAACCCTGGAGAAGGTGGGGAGGAGCAGAGAGCATTGTTATTTCTTCATCTCCCTTTTTCAAACCACGTCCTTTCATCACTTGATGGTCTAAACATTTCCCATGGTGGAAGGGCAGTTCAAGATGGATGCACAGCCCAACAAAACCCTCAGCTGTGATCCCTCTGCCAGCAAAGTCTCTCAACCACATTTGCCTCCGAAGTATTTCCACGTTCTTTGTATCCCACTTTCCAGTCCCAAGCCTTGGATGCTTTCGGCTTTCTAGTTTCCTGCCCTTGCACCAGAATTTGTGCATCTGTGCTCAATTTGTGCAAACAGCAAAAAACAAAAAGCACACCACTAAAATGTCCTTTTTACAGACAGTGTTGGCTGCTCATATCCCCCAAATACACCCTCTTAGCTGTTCCTTTTGGCCATGAAAGTTCACCAAAGGAAAGGTTTGCATTTGCTCTCAAGGAGGTGCATGAATGTACTCAAGGAGTGCCCACTCCTGGTACGGCTGCATTGTGTGACACAGGACAGATGCGTGTCCATGCTGCCCCACTGTCTGGGCCACAGCAAGATACACGGAAACTAGCCGGGTGCAATGGTGACATGGAGAAACAATGCCAAGGGGTTCTTGCCGGTAGCGCCCTGGTGGGGCATGGATCTTGGCAGGTGTCCACCTACGCCTGCCCTCAACGCAGTCCCCAGCAGTCCCGATTCTGCCCAAGACCGCAAGGAACAGCAGCAAAGGAGCACTGCCTGCAGCCCCGCTGGTTGCAGAAGCCTCGCAGTCTTGTGTAATGGCTGTGAATGCCTTCGTTCCTCCAAGCCACTTAATGCTTCATTCATCCAAGCCACTTATTCCACACATTAGGAGCTCCTAACAGGGAAGCAGCAGCCCGAAAGAACAGAGGAAGATGTAACAAGGCCAGCAACCAATAATGCAGCAGGGAAGGCGCTGGCTTCAAAGCAGAGCACAAGGCTTCCCGTGTGGTTTGCACTCTCTCATTTCGCATTGTCTTGTAGAAGACGCTGCCTCCAGCAATGCAGAAAGGCCTGGCTGAAGATATCCTGCTCTCTCGGCCAGATGGAAAGGCCTGTTGTCTGGTCGGGGGAATGAATTCCATTTTGGAGAAGCACTTGGGGAGCGGGTTTGAGTGGTGGGTGTGGAAGGGCCAAAAATGTAGCTTAACACGCTAAGTGCCAGTCCCTAAGGAGATGAATTTCAAACTTTTTGAATGGACGAGAAAAATGCACAAAGGCCAGGTAACCATCAACTGACTGGTGGTCTGCAGCAAGGGGCCAGGAGGAAGGGGCATGGGCTTATCTTATCTGTTATGTTCCCTTCTCCAACCACTCCCAGCCTCTCAGTTTTTCAGTCTGGCCAGTCCCATCACGCTTCTTCTTTCTTCATTTTCTTCTGGGTCTTAGGCCTTCAGGAACCCATGCACACTGTGACATGGCCATCTAGGGAACCTCAAAAAGCTGGATTAGGACCTCAGCCCTGGGGTCCTGCAGCCCTGCTTTACCTCTTTTCCATAGGGATATCCAAGAAATCCACAGTGGATTGAATACGTTTGGAGTTCTCTGAATATGCTGCCGATTCCACAGCAGAACAGCGAATTCCAAGTCACATGGATTCTGTGGATTCCGAGACTGATTTTTCTCCAAGGGCTGGATTAGTGCCAATGTTCATTAGCCCTACGGTACCCTTGTGCAAATGCATGAATCGTCATCAGATAACGAGTGTGCATTAGCACAGATTGGCAAGTGCATGTTAGCACTAAGGCATTAGCAGTATTCTGAATTAGCACTGGAAAGAAATTCTGCTATTTAAAAATCTGATTCAATCAATGAGCAGACGCTGCAACCAGACAATCCACGAAACGCAGATGGAGCAGACTGAGCAACATCTGTACATGCGACTTTTGTCACTCCCCTCTTGAGACTTAGGTGGCCAATGCACTGCTCTGTTAACTGCCCCCCATCCGAACGATGCCTTTTGAACTAAGCTGCACGATCATATAAATCCTAGTGACTTTGTTAGAGCTCATTCCCAAGCAAACGAGTATCGGAATGCAGCCTTGGGGTCAATTAATTGTTAGCATCAGGAATGTGTAAACAAGTGAGTTTTTTTTAAAGTGTTCAAATATTATTTTCCATATTTATAATGTAAACTGTCCTTAAACACAGAAGCATTTTGAGTTAAAAAGGAAATGGAAATAAACAACAGATGAATGGTTAAGTTTCTGCTGGTTGCATAAAAGTCAAATCTAATGATCTGATAAATAATGGTGCAATTCTGTCTATATTTAGACAGAATAGGGGCCTACACTTTCCAGCTTTCTCCAGTGCTGGGAATGCTAGGACTTCTATCTAAATATGCATTGGATTGCACTCTTAATTACCTACAACTTGACTTACTATTTGGCACTATTTTTCTTCATAAGAATGAAAAGCTGTTGATAGTGCACTGAGAGCGAGGATTACCCAAGGCGTAATAGGTGCAATCATTTACGCTAGCAGTGAAATGGGATGGGAAACTAACTACTGGCATAGATCTATAAACTTTTGAAAGTAAATACCTCCTCACACACCAATACAAAATACATCTCTTTTAAGGGCACAGTCCAGCCAGTGCAAAGCATTTTCCGAACCCATGATTTCCAGTGGGAAAGCAGTACTGAGCACAATGCTTTGTGGCAGAACTGAAACCTTTGCTGTTGTAGCTACCCGTTGCCAAACAGACTTCTGCTGCCCAGCCTCTGCGAGAGGCTTCATCCCGTTATGTGCTTGTTCTGGAGGATACTTAGCACCAATAAGGCAAGTAGAGCACAGTTTGGTTGCTCACAGCTCTCAAATGAGCCATTTCTGCACAAAATGGTACCCAAGTCTGCTAACAATAGTAAAAGTTAAAAAGAGACTGTTAATTAAAACATAACAGAAAAGCAAATAAATTGAAAACACAATTAAGAACCATGTTATCTGGCACATACTACAGTGAAAAGCTGAGTCAGCATTTACTGGAAGACTTTTTCCTCAATAACATTTCTATGATATTTCTTTTTCTCCCTAGAAATGGGACTCCTCGCAGAATTTGCCCCAGATATTTTCTCCTATTTTGAGAAGGGACAGGACTGCTAATGGAAACTCACCACCCCCAAGAATCAGTTGGAGAATTTCTCCCCTTCCTGGAGGGGAATCCATTGCAATGGTTCTCCCAAGATTGTTTATCTACAAATAGGGTAGAGAATTTTAAGAGGCTATTTGCTCACGGCTCTGACTTGATATCCTCCTTCCCATGGTTTCCATCACCCCACTATGGCCTCACCATGCTAAGACCTTTCTCTCTTTGCTGAGCAATAGGCAGTTAGGAGATGCTACCCTAAATTCTGCCCAACCACCCTCGGGTGATGCTACATCAAGCACGCTGGGGCAATGTGGACCACTGGAAATTGTGCTTTTTAGTCAATGATTGCTGGTACCAGTTACAACAACGACTGGAAGGGGGCATTATGGTAGGACGGAGCCACAGCGGAAATTTTGCCCAGGGCCCTCTCGAGCTTGGAACTGACCATGGGGAGGGAATAGTAGAATTCTGTAGCCCTTAAAAGGACAAAAAAAAAGGAGTAGGCCCTTGCTTGCCTTTGCTGGTCTACAGTAAGAGTGTACCATTCAAATTGCCTGACATAAAACGTTCATGTTTCTATAACTAAAGCATACTGCATCAGTGCATTAATGGTAAAAAAAACAATTTTTGGCACACTTTCCAGTTGATATTTTCTTGTTGACCTATTCTCTGTTATCTTTTCCCTTTCATCTCTGCACCCCACAGCACTCTGGCCATGCCCAGGCATTCATTCTTTTAGAAAGGAGGGCATAAGGGGGCACTGGAACTGTGCCAAGCAATATGTTTGCAAACAATAGAACTGGTAAGCGAGTCAAGTTTGCTGCAGGCATTTGCTTGCTTGCTTGCTTGCTTGCTTGCTTGCTTGCTTATAGAAGGCAGGGTGTCTCCGTCAACATACTCACATAGTTGGCTGCCAGTTAGACCTTCAAACATCACATGCCAGGGTCAGGCAAGGGCTCTGTGAGGGCATTAAACTCAATGCTCCTATGGCGCCTCTGTGACCGGAAACCCGGATAACACCGGGATCGCAATCATGTACTCCATAAGCATGTTCAGCTGATTTAAAGCCCCTTTCAGACCTTCATAAATGGCTCCAGGAGGTGCAGCTAACAGCTAGGCGCACAGGAACACTGGGAGCAGGGCTTCCACGTTGCACCCATGTCCCCATCACCACTTCAGCCCTGCAAATGTCCAGGTGCGGGCCTACACAGGACTTAAGTGATGACAGCTTCTCTGGCTGAATCCCCATTTCTGGCTCAGCAAAGCAGCGGCAGCATCCTGACAGGACGTGGTCCTTTCATGGACACCACCCAAACCACGGGTAGCTATTCAGTGAGTGAATAATAGCGCAAAGATGGTGGAAGGGAGCAGGGATGCAAGACGTACTTACTTCTCGGTTAATCCGAATCTTAGCAAGCCCAATGGGACACAGTTCAAGAGAAAAAGAGATCAGAGACAGACAGATTAGTGAGACACAATCAAAAGATGATTAGACTGTTTAGTAGGGGGAGTGCATTATGCAACAGAAATGCGAACGGCAAGCACAGGGGCTGGGGATCAAGTGTGGCTCCTTTCACTTCACAATTGATCAAGGCAATCATGAACACTTTATAGGAAAATAAACATTCTCGGATAGCTGAAATATGTACCACAAACTCCATTCAAAATTTGATCCTGAGGTTCATATCTGAATTTTGAATGTGATGTTTGAACAGTGAGAGCTTTTCAACGTAACTGGTATCTTTTGATTTGGGCAAGTGTCAAAAATGAAATGAGCTATTAAATTTAGACTATTGCTAGAGTGCACACTGGAACTGTTATCAAATACCCACAGCTTCTTAACTATCAAAATCAAATTTGAACATCAAATTTAAAACATTGGAGTCAAATTTCATTGAATAAAATATAGATATCTATTGGAAAAATCTTCAAGTATTCAGGAAGTATCCAGAATTTTTGTATTAAAATTTGCAAATGAAACTTGGAAACAAATTAATTTCAGCCCTAGAACAAACTTTTTCAAATGCTTTGTATTAAAGTTGGCATTCAGGGACCACCTCAAAATGTTTTATTTTCTCTCTCTTTCTTTCAAAATCATGCATTAGCATGTATCAATTTATTTCTAGTCCATAATTGTTTATCCTGTGTTTATGTGTCTATTCCTGCCCAGTTCTACATTAATTTGCTTTTAAAACTTGGAATGCATGGAAACTTGCATTTAAATACATATTTGATCATGTTTTTCACGAACTAAGCATGTCTAAATATATTATCTGAAAAAATATATATTTGATATGCCTTTGAAGATGAAAACTGCATCACAAAATTCGGACAAGTGCAAAATCCAATTTGAACATTTATCCTGGAAGTATAGATGAGATCAAATCACATAAGAAGATCAAATTCCTCTGGCATCCCTGTTAGGGATGGGTAGAATGCCCTAGTTCTCTTCCTTTATTGTTTCACAAGTTTTATCTGTATATTGTCCTTATCCCTCTTAATTCTGGTTAACCGAAAAAATTCTGGAATGGAACATGGACAGTTAACCAGTTTTCTATTCCTTTCATTTTCTGGATTCTGCTCTGCCCCTTCGCAATTGGCTTGGGCAAATTACCCAAGTCTTTTCCATTTCCTTTTTCCTACGGAAGAATCTGAGTAATTGCCAAGTTGAACTGATGAAAGCTTTGAGAATCTCACCCATCTGCAGACACAACATGGATTGTATGGGCTGTGATAAAGATCCACTTATGCCTCTAATCCAGAGGTGGGCAACCCCATTTTCACCAGGTATTTTTGTCTAAGAGTCCTGTAAGCCCCAGCCAGCATGACAGATGCTAAGGGATTCTGGGAAGCATAGCCCAAAATATCCAGAGAGCATAAGGTGGCCTCTCTCTGCACTTTTTACTGTTGCACTGTAGCATTTTATTGTTAGAACAAATTCCACAGAGAGCAGGAGAAGACAGGAAGTGTTGGCCTTTGGAAATGAAGACGATCCCAAGGAAGAATAAGAATAAATACATACAATCAGGTTAGCATGGGGAGTAGAACTTCTAAGAGAGAGAGAGAGAGAAAGGAGAGAGGAGAGGAACATGGAAGACAAAAATGATTCTATATCACACAACCAAGAAGGTTTCTAACAGACAAGCAAACAACAGACAAACAAAAAACAAACCCCCCAAAACATGACTTTGAGGTTTTGCTAAACTGGAAGCTGTTGGTGAAATGGTCCTAGAATGGATGCACTTACATCAATGTAGTTGGCATTGATATAGTCTGAGTTGGGGTCACCAAGAAGGGGGTGGAGCTTAACTCGATGTCGGTCATCTGGAAACAAAATTAGATGTGTCTGTTAGTTCCGAGCAGGCAGAAAAACATTGAAAAGCCTTAAATCTCTCATCCCCGTACATTATATTTGGTGTGATTTTTTTTTCTCCTGTTATGAAGCGTGCGTGAGTTTTCAGGGGAGAAGGGGGATGGATGTTCTTGTGAAATCAAAGACTCCAGCACCGCAATTCAGCCTGGAGCTACAAGCCCTGTGTCTCCTCCCTCTAATACTGAGGGAGAGAATCTTTTTCAGCCTGGAGCTTTATTCCATCTTGGAGCTCTCAGGAGTCGCATTCCAGCAGTAGGCAGAACCAAAAAAAAATTGGGGTAGGGGGAAAAAAAACACCAAAAATGACTAGCATATTTAGCTTAAACCTCCTATTGCCTCAACCTCAGCATGTCAGTCTTTCACCAAAGGTGTGGAGGATGAAACAAGAGTCAGTAAGCCACCAATTTACCTAGCAGTCAGGTAAAGAGGGTGGAGGCATGGCATTCTGGAGATCCTAGAACACCAGGTTTGGTGCTCCAGTGGAACCTACACAGGAGAACCTTCTCCTGGTCTTCAACAGGCAGACTAATTTCCTGTCATTAACCTTTAATGGCAGGTTGAAACAATGCTGATCATGTTCCAGTCCTGAGCCACAGAGTTGCAGAAATGTCTGGCTTCTATGCATCAGCCTAGCCTGTGAGTCACCTGTGCTCAGCTGAAAAGGCATGGCCATGCGGCCAGATAGGTGACCACACGTGCAAGCAAGGCAGGGAGTCTGGACTCAGGGGGCTTTTAGGCCCCTTCCAACTATTCCATTCTAAGCATCCTTCTGCTCAAAACTGTAGCCTCCTCCTCCTTGCAGTGTGCCCCCAACTGTTTGCAGGATCCAGCCAGGTCACTGAAGGTTCAGATTTGTTGCAGTCAGGCCCACTGAAAGGCTATATTCTGACACTTTCTGCTAGGGTGACCACTGTCCTACTTTACACAGGATTCCTTGACTGCAAGGGCTGCCGGAGGACTGCCCTCTCTTTGATGGGTTGTCCAGTCCAAGCCTGATTTGAAGATATGAACCCTGAAGTGTCCCATTCACAGGCAGCACCGGGATGGAGCAGACACACCTGGTCGCCATCTTTCCCAGTGGATGGATTCAATCTGCTTTTAAATGACAGTCATTGATTCTGATTTGCAGCTGCACATGCCTGTGAGTCCATCAAAAGTCATGGAAATCTTTTGGAAGTGATGCATTTCCTCTGCTTTGGCAATGGGCAGCTGACCGGTCTATCTCTGCATGTAGTCCAAATCACCCGATCTCCCCTTTCTCACTCAATTTCCTCTGCATGCAGTCCAAGCCATCCCCTTCCTGATTCAAATTCCACAATAGAACCCCAAGCAACCAGCTTACTGCTTCCCCAGAATACAGCAGGGGAAAGCAACGCACAAGAAATCTGCTCTCCCTTCCTACCATTTTTGTCAGTTCCTCACTCAGACAGAACTGTGAAGATCAAAGCATTCAATTCTCCTTCAATGCACATTTAATTAGAATAGCGAAGCAGGCGCTTTTTGGCACACAATACCAGGCTTGCAGCAGAGATATGACAGGGTCTGAGAGTGTCTTCTCAGCTCCTGCTGACTGCTTTCTCCTGCCACCATGGTATCTCTCTCATTACTGCAAATGCAGGAAGGGCAGACGCTGCTTTGTCCCCCGTGACTGAACTGAGAAGAATTCCGTGAGGCTTCGGGATCACCATATGCCCATCTCGAAGCATAATCCTGAGCATAAAGGTATTATGGATTCCCTATACAGCTATACCAGTGGCCTGAAGTGATACCCCCTCTGCATTTATTTCCCAAAAGTCTTCTGCAAGAGGCCAATGCAGACCTCTGTCCCTCCCATGATGGTGCACTGGGTGAGGATGAAGACAACGAAGGAGCTGGCAGAAAGGGAGGGGTGGGGTGGCAGGAACAAAAGTGGGGAGAGAGCAGGGGGAGGATGAAAGGGGGAGGCAGGCAGGCAGGGAGGGGAGTGGTTTTGGCCCTGACCCTGCCCACTTCTGTCTTCAGCTCCACCCACCATCCCCATGAGGACCCTGCGGATTATTCCCAAGAAAACGTGTCCCTTGATAGAAAAAAGGCTCTTCACCACCAGTTATGGGGTTTCCTTGGGGTGGGATGCATGGTGGGGGGGGATACAGTGATTGCTTGCAATCTTTTCGCATAAGCAGCTGGGGAAACACCCCTGAGTGTGGTTCTTTCCTGTTGTTGGCTGGAAGGTTCACAAGAACAGATTGCAAACGGCAACAAGAAGAGAGGTGAGTGAGAGGATGATGAAGGTGTCATCTCCAGCTACAGCCAATGGCTAGAATGAAAGGGTATCTCCACTATCCCTCGGGGACTTTTGCTAGCCTAGCAACACTAAGCAATGTGCTAAGCCACTCCAATTCTTTTCTCCATTATCCATTGCAAAGCTGACAGGACAACCCATGTCTGAAAATTCCTGCAGGTTCACTGTGGTGAAAAATGCGCATACTTTGATGATTCATCGATCAATCAGTGAAGGGCCTATTGAGTTATCAAAAGGGATCCCACCAATTAATTGGACAGCAGATTTTTTAAAACGTTACTTTTGATGTAACAAGTGGGATGTTGCAGAAAAGACACTCCACTTCAGGGTTCTAGTATGCCAGCCAGGCCTTGTTCAGTATACTCTTTACGAATAATCCAAAAAGCATTGGTCCTAATACAGAACCACGTGGGATTCCACTGGTGACATCTCTCCCCTGGGAGAAATTACCATGTATTCCCACCTGCTGTCTTCTGTTCTTTAACTAGCTAGTATTCTTTTTAAAAAAATACTTTGCTCAGGGGACTTGGCCAAAAGTCTTCTGGAAGTCCTACTAAACAGTGTCTGCTGAATCACCCTATCTATGTTCTTATTGACAAAGAACTCCAATAAGTTAGTGAGACAAGACTTCCCCTTGCGGAAGTCATGCTGATTTTTTTAAGCAGGGCTTGTCTCTCTATGTACTTACTGATTCTATCTTTAATAGTCCTTTCAAGCAGCTTCCCTAGAACAGATGTTAAACTAACCATCCTGTAATTCCCCAGATCCCCCTTGGTTCCCTTTTTAAAAATTGGCGTCGCATTGGCCATTCTCCAACCCTCTGATACAAGGACTAATTTCAGGGACATGATAAATATTTTGGTAAGAAGGTCAGCAACATCATTTGTGAGTTCGTTGATGACTCTAGGATAGATACTATCCGTCTGGACCAGGTGTCTTGCTGACTTTCAGTGTATCAATAAGGCTGAGCATTTCTTCTTTTGTTATTACTATCTGCACTAATTCTTAGGACTCCATTCCGGAACACATAAACTCAGAGCCAGGTATTTGCTCATTGTCCTCTGCTGTAAAGACTGATGAAAAGAATTCATCCAGCTTCCCTGCAATCTCCTCATTTCCCCCTTAGTGCTCCTTTAAATTCCATTATCATCCAATGGCCCAACTGTTTCCTTAGTCACTTTCTCTTTCCATATATTAAAATAATTCTTTATTCTTAGCCTTGATATTAGCTACATGCTCCTCAAACTTTGCTTCTCTGATTGTCTGCTTGCCCTCCGGAAGTCTGAAGTATCTGGAGGCCACCCTTCTGGGGGATGCTCTTTTACACAGAAAGCCTGAGGGAATGAGCCTGACTGAGCTGCGTGAGCTATCCTGGGAATCTTCTCAGCTGAAGGGCAAGGCTGGAGCCACTTTAAATGGATAAAATCCAACGTTATGAAACTTTATTTAATTAATACATTTAAACTCACACAATTCCACACTCACACAGCCTCCAGCAATCTCTCCCCTCATACAGGAGAGATGCCTCCCCTTCAAACAGATTAAATCACGCTGCGAAATCTACTCCGCTGGCTGATCAGCCTGACTGGAGATGCAACAGAGCAGATGGTATCAGAGGCACAGGCCACTGTCCAAAATCACTTCGGGTGCATCCCCCTTGGCACCAAGACTGTGGTAGGGCTGAGGAGCAGGGCATCAGACAGGCTCTTCGATGCAGGGCAGAGGAGAGCTCGCCCAGAGCTGTTAAGCCGAGGGCATCTTGCCCCAAGCCTCTCTGGTCCTCTCTCCTGCCATCCCGTTCTCCGCAACAGCTGTCTGGGGAGAGGGTGGATGGCTTCTCCCAAGCTGTTTTGAACCACTCGCGCTCTGTTTTTCTTTTAGCCATCACGTTAACATGAATTTCCAATTTGGAAACCAGAGGGAATAAACCACTATAATGAGAAGCAATGAAAATGGCTAACGAGGATGGAGCTGCAAAGGCATGTTGGCTTCAGGGGGAGTTATGTAACAGTGCAGATTCTTCCCTGTCCTCAGAAAGCAGGAAGAAAGGATATCCCCAAGTCTCAACCCATGAACTCTCTCTCTTCCTGCTACATTTGCACATAGGTATGTGCACACGCATGCACATGTTCGATCACCACAGGCTGCAGACATGGACCTAATTCAGCTTGCCGGACTCCCCAGGCTGGCCTGCAGAGCCTCTCTGGGATCCCGGGATCCCCCACTGATATCACTGATCTAAGATTGGAGGTAACAGTAGGGATCTCCCTCCCACCCCCGACTGGAGAGCCAGCAGGTGTAACCCCCACTGTTAACACTGAGGATGCTCATGAATGTTACCCAGAATGTCTTTGGCCTGGTAGGAGGCCATTTGTCCCCCACCTCAAACAGTTCTGTGCCCCTGATGAAGAGCATTGCAATGCCTGCTCAATGCATACTAGGAACTATTTACACTCTTGGCTGGCTCCATATTTCTGAAGGCCATTGGAAGTCCCTGGAGGGTTTTCCTAGCAGTGGTACCAAACAGCACTGGGCAGCATCGCTCAGTATCCTGAACTGGGCTGCTGTGAGAAATTAAAAGGGTGGACTAATCTAGCCACTCAACATTGCTCAAGGTACCAAACTGATTTTTATTTTCTTTTTTTCAAAATGGAGTTGTCACAAGGATGGTGTGAAAGATGGGCCTTCTGGAGGCTGATAACTGCCCACAGGTGGCAAATGCTGACACCATCCCAGATGGCAACACTGCAATAGCAGCACTGCTACGGAGGGCTTCTGCCACAGAAGGAGGGGTGCGGGAATCTGTCAACAGCAGGAATATCCACACACACACACACACACGAATTTTCAGCTTGAATCAGTGCAAGAGAAGAAAGTCTCCAGTCCACTTGAATATGTAAAAGCATAGAAAGATGAGCATGTAAGAAACAAAGCAATTGCTCATCGGAGGCAAACATACCCCAGCCTCTCAATGGACAGAATTGCGTGAACGAGTGACATGCAAGATCTCCAGGCTTCTCTGAACATCAGCTCACTGCTCATCACAGGCCTGGTTCCCATTTGCATTTGCAATAGCTGTGCAAACGAGAAAGTTGAGTGAACAGAGAAGCTGCACAAAATGAGCCATGGGCAAATGTGAAATTTTGCCCTGTTCAATTTGGGCAAAATGTCATTACGGTATGTACATTTCCTAAATTTCTTCCATACACTAAATATGGTGGATGAAGAAATGTATACGAATTACAGCATTTGTGCACATTTGCAAAGTCTGAGCAAATTCGGGAAATTTGCACAAGTCAACTGTGAGCACACACTTGGCAATTTATTTATTATATTTATTTACACATGTATCTATAGTCCACCTATAACTGCCGAGGCCTTCCTAAGTGGCTTACAATACATATAACATACTAACAAAATGAAACACATTAAAACCAATCAAAACACAACGAATTAAAACATCTATGAAAGCAATATAAAAAGGGCCACTGCATTCAGGCTAAGTGTTAAAAAATTTCCTAAAAAGGTAATTCATCACCTGGTGCCGAAAGGAAAATAAAGATGGAGCCAGGTGAATTTCCCCAGGGAGGGAGTCCCAAAGATGGGCAGCAGCAGCAGAAAAGGCCCTGGGCCTAGTTGCCACCCCTCTCGTCTCCCTGACGGGAGGTTCTCATAGAAGGGCCTCTTGAGCCGATCTAAGGAGGCAGGTAGGTTTATATGGGTGCAGACGGTTCTTTAGATAGCTGGGCCACAAGGCATTTAGGGCTTCATATGTCAATACAAGCATCTTGAATTGGGCCCAGGCCACAACTGGTAGCCAGTGAAGTTCTTTCAGAACTGGTGTTATATGGGCCGCTCTAGAAGTACCAGTCACCAACCAAGCAGCCCGATTCTGCACCAGTTGCAATTTATAAACATTTCCAATGGACCTGTGTTCCCTTCGACTAGCAAACAGGGCATGCTTACATATTTTGCATGCAAAACTAAATTCTCATACATAGGCACTGGGATGACTGCAAAGCACTAGGTCATCCTTCCCCACCCTGGCTCCATTCAGGCTACAACTCTCAAAATCCTTCTCCGCTGGCTTGGGGTTGCAAGAGTTGTAGTCCAACACATCTGGAGGGGACAGTTTGAAGCTCATGCTTTGTGTTTAAGCAAGAATAAGGTTGAAGTCTGACTGATGAATCAATTAAGATTAAACGCCAGTATCTTTTGAATACGGGGCATGCAATGCATGGTCCATGGGTCACAGGGACATGCCTCCTGAACCTCACCCACTGCTGCCACCATCAAAAACCCCCCAGCAACCCTCTGCAATTGTGGATAATGCTAACCATGCCCCTTTGCTCAAGCCACGCCCCTTTCCCCACACAGCCCCCCACTGCTCACCCAGTACCCAAAGTTGCATCCTAATAAGGTTGTGCACTCTTGTTTTAAACATCACACACTCGCCCATACTTATGCTCACACTTTTCTGCAATGATTCCCCATCCCAGCAAAATTCTGACTACATGTCTAGTGCATCTGTGCCATAAAGAAGGCAGTGTCAGGCTTTCCCTGGTCCCAGTGGAGCTTCTCAGCCTTTCGCCCCTTCATTTATATGGAATAGCGATAGTCAGGTAGCCTCCTCAGGAACAGAAGGGGGAAGAAGTGAGGGATCTAAACACAGGATGTTCTTGTGGATTCACTGAGAGATAGTTTATATTCAGGGCTACTCATAAATGGTTTATAAGGCATCCATAAATCATGAGCAGATGGTACAAGTATGTTACCAATATTAAGAGGGTGCATTACAGACCTTTTCTTCTTTGTGACGCGGAAGGAAACTGTAATATAGATGACTATACTATTCTAGGAATCTTCCCTCTAGTTATCCAATAGGAGGGTGATTACCACTAGACAGATTTCCAGAGATGAACCCAGTGCCTAAAAAGCCTTTAGCATGCACTCTGCAATTAAATAATATATTGGAGCTGTTTGAGTGGTGGGTGTGGGGAATAACAGGCTAAGACTGCAGATATCCAATGCATAGCTATTAAGCCCCTGGAACAGGTCCACTACCCTGTCTGCTACGAAGGAGTTCCTTCTCCAGGTATGGATGCTGATGTTGCCAAAATGCTATCCATGCAAGAGCAGGCTTCAGGGTCTTCAGGGATTGCAGAGGTAATAAAAAGCTTTAGAACTAGCCCCTTTTCAAAGAGTTGAGGATATAGAGTAGGGGGCAGCATTAGAAAGGGTCCAGAGGAGGGCAACAAAAATGATCCAGGCTTTGGAAACACTGCCCTATGAGGAGAGACTGAGAGAACTGGGCATGTTCAGCCTTGAGAAGAGAAGGTGGAGGGGGAACATGGTGTCACTCTCTACGTAATACCAAGAAATACCACTCTCAAAGGCTGTCACAAAAAGGAAGGTCAAGATCTCTTCTTGCTGATGCCAGAGTGTAGGACACGGAATAATCAAGTCAAGCTGTGACAACCCAGATTCAGGCTGGACATCAGGAAAAGCTTCCTCACTGTCAGAGCAACATGACTGTGGGACCAGCTGCAGGAGAGGTGCTGGGCTCTCCCACACTGGAGACATTCAAGAGAAAACTGGGCAGCCCTCTGAGTGGGATGGTGTGACTTGGTGTCCTGAAACAGCAGGGAGTGGGACCCAATGGCTTTCATGGCCCCTTCCCGCCCTACTATTGCGTGAAATATATTCAAAAATTAGTTAAATAAATAAATGACTAATAAATGGATGACTGATCCTGTCCAGTGGGCTTGGAAGAAGAACATATGAGCACAAGAGGAGTGCTATTTAATCAGGCCAATAGCCTGCCTAGTCCAGCACAGTTTGCACAGTGGCCAAGCAGCTGCACAGGGAAGCCCATGTCAGATGCGAGTGTGATAGCATCTGCCTGCCCAAGTCCTCCAGCAATGTGCATTCAGGAGGATGCTGCTTTTGATCCTGGAGGGAGCACAGTGCCTTCTAGATTAATAGCCATGGGCAGCCTCTCTCTCAGGGCATTTGTCTAGTCCCTTCATAATGCTACCCGAGTTGGTGGCCATCACCACTTGTAGTGGTAGTGAGTTCTGCAGCATTTTGTGAAGAATTGTTTCCTTTCACTGGTCCTGAATCTCCAATGTTTCAGCTTCATTGGACCACTGCAGATTCTACTCACAGATGCTATAACATTTAGGTATCCTGGTCCCAAGCCATTTAAGGCTTTATAGGTCAATACCAGCACCTTAAATTGGGCCTGGGCTTCAATTGGAAGCCAGTGAAGTTGATAAAGGACCAGTGTTATATGAGAGTAGTGACTGGCCCCCAGTAGCAATCTGGCAGCTCTGTTCTGAACCAATTGAAGTATCCAGACCGTCTTTAAGGGCAGCCCCATGAAAAGCGCATACAGTAATCCAATTGGGAAGTTACTAGAGCGTGTGTGACTGTTGCTAGGCAGCACTCATCCAGGTAAGGACACAGCTGATGGATCAGCCAAAGCTGAAGGAAAGCACTCCTCGCCACAGCCGCCATCTGGGCCTCCAGGGACAGCTCCGGGTCGAGGAGCACTTCCAAGCTGCAGACCCTGTCCTTTAGAGGGAGTGCAACCCCATCCAGGGCAGAGCCAAAATCACCTGCCTGAAAATCTGAACCACCTACCAAGAGGACCTCCATCTTATCTGGATTGAGTTTCAGTTTATTGACCCTCATCCAGCCCATTACCTCGGCCAGGCACCAGGTCAGGACAGCCACTGCCTCACCTGGATTAGCTGTAAAAGAAAGGTAGAGCTGGTGTCATCAGCATACTGGTGACTCCTCAGCCCGAACTTCCTGATGACCTCTCCCAATGGTTTCATATAGATGTTAAATAGCAAGGGGGACAAAATAGAACCCTGCAGTACTGCATGGCAATATTCATATATCAAAAACTGAAAAACAGAAATATCGATCTTTACTGCTTTTGTCTCAAACACTTACAGGTAGGCATGTGATCCTGTCTCCCTTTGGTTTTATCTTTCTTCTTTGAAGCATCCCAGCCTTCAAAGAAACTCTAGGAGGAAGAGAAGTCTATTATGTGCATAAAGAACACTTGGAGAATCAGCACAGAGAATTTCCTTTGGCAGCAACAATACCTACCCTATGGGCTGGTTCCATCATACTGATTCATGCTTACTTACTGAATGGTGGACTTTGGAATATTGGGTGGCTTGCACACAGAGCAAACCACACGGGGGGTCAAGAGAATGGCACCCATATTGTGCCATACCACATAGTTTTGAAGTACAACTTCTATTGCAGGGATGGAGAGAGATGGTACTTTCCAGATGTTTTGGACAGCAAACCCCATGGACTCCACCCAAAAGAGCCCAGTTCAAGGCTGGGATGAGCGAGAATTTCATTTGGCTCATTATTTGTAATGGACTTACCAAAAGCTTGTGAATTTCTTGGTAACTGGATGGTAAAAACATGAGATCGATGCTGATGATGCTGTGGCAAACTAACCAATTCATCCAACCAGGCCCAGGGCTTTCCAGTGGAGGAAACTTCCTTAGAATGAGTCAGACTATTGGTCTATCTAGCCCAATATCATCCACTCTGACAGGCAACAGTGGCTTTCTGGGGTTGCAAGCAGGATTCTTCCCTAGCCCTACCTGGAGAAGCCAGGGATTGAACCAGGAAGCTCCTGCATGCAACACAGGGGCTCTACCATGAAGCCACTGCCCCATTACATCTGATTTTGATTCCCTTTGTCAGTGTTGAATTAGGGTTGCTAGCTTTTTTATTGACACGTAAACTAATTAAGTGTCTAGTAGGTACGTCATAGCCCTCTCCATCTGATAATATATACACCAATCAAATTTGCCTAGTGAAGCCTTAATTATACTTCATTCTCGGTAAGGATTTACCCAAACTTGCCTAGTTCATATTTGGGGATGGAAGAACTAGAGAAATTAAAAAAAAACAAATACAGAAGAAAATAAATTAACAGATCCATCCATTCTTAGGTTTATCACAGGTTCTTCAAGGAGCCTGATACCACTCTTGGGAGTAACTGGGTGATCACACTGTGCGCAGGTGGATAAATCAATGAAAAACTGTTGGATCAATCAATGAAAACTTTTCTGTCAAATAACTGGCCAGCAGGTGTTTGTGTTTGAATTTTCTATTTTGTTATGTACTTACATCACCTTCAAATGCAAGTGCCATCAAAGAAGAGGCATGCACTCAGGATGAGTGAAGCCAGAATGGCTCTTCTGCTAAGATGCTGTCTGCTACAACACAGGCATCAATACAATATAATACTGTGTTTAAAACAACACAAAATTCCAGGGAATATGTATCCCTTTGAAATATAGATTTGCATTAAGAAACCAGCAATAGAGAGGTGATGAATCAATTAGACATGTTATGGAAATTGAATTAATCAGTAGATCAGTCTATACAGACTCATGCAATTCTAAGAATGCCTACTGGCAAATAAATCCCATGGAATTCACTGTTTACCTAGCAATAAACTCCACTTAATGGGACTTATTCCCAAGTAGGCATGTATAGGATTGCACTGGAAAGTCCATTTATCATGGAACAGTCTTATTTATTCTGTCTTTTACCTTTAACTTTAGAGAGCAAGATCTATATTTTCAAATACCAGGACTGTAAAGTACACCACAGTTTTGTTTTGCAGGGTGGGGAAGCAGAAGACAAATTGAACTAAGATCGCTAAATTCCTATCTATTTTCTTCAGGTATCAGTGGCAGCAACAGCATTTTATATGCCCATAGATCAACAATATCTTTTCATCTATGTCTATTTTCATTAAATATTTTCCACAAGGGGCTACTTTTAAAGTGCATTCATTCTGCTACATCTATAATCCTTGTACCTCCATAAATGCCTCATCCCCCTTCCCACACAGGATTAGATTTTTCCCCACCCCAGAGTTCTTAATTTTAATTCCACAGAGCAGGCTTGTGCGGTTGTTCACAAAATAACAGCAGAGCTCATGGCTGCAAGCAAGAGAATGAAAGTGGAAAAAAATGATATGTTTCCTTCTTTATTCCCAATATTCAAGTGCCTTTCAAATGACTGGTTTGAGACATGTACAACAGCTTTTCAAGGTGCCCTAATTATTGTAACTAGCCCAGGTTTGTCAGACTCATAATATTGGAGAAGAGAGTTGCAGATATTTGCATCAACTGAATATGAGATGGTAATTTTGTGGCATGAAAGAGAAGCTGGGTGAGGGATTTCTATAGGAAGTCCCACAGGACACAAGCCCATATTATAATGTTGGTCTCACAAAGCAGAGGTGCTGCAAATGTTCCATTTTGATATGGCTTAGGAGGTGGATTTTATGATTTAGGCAGACAATGTGTTCTCAGGAAAAAAGAACAGAAAGCAAAAGCTTCCTGGGGACTCTCAGACTGAGCTGGCAGTCAAGGCCAACATGACAGGTGGAGACCGTCTCCAAGTTAGGTCAGTGGAATCGCACAATGCCCTGATCCAGCCTGGAGAAACTCTGCATGGGGGTTGAAACTTCCCACAGAACTGTGTCTTCTCCCAGTTCATTCCCCAGTGGAATTTGGGATGAAGAAAGCCACTGCCCAAGGTTTTTCTCTCTTTACCCCCCATATGGACTAGGTGAATTTAGGAAGCAGCTGGTGGGAAATTTTAATTGCCTCCCCCTCAGCTGCATGCAAAATCAAGGTGTATTTTGGGACCTGCATTTTGTGTCATGTGGTGACAAATTTGTGTGTGTTGTGTTTTGTTTTGTTCTTTTGCAGGGGAGGGGAAGGAATCCATCTGTTTCCCAGGCTTTGCTCCCCAGACTCTTGTCCACTTTGTCATGAACTCTCTTTCTCAGTGCATGCACTCAGTGTTCATGCAGTGCTTGCCAAGAATCATGTCCCACCTGTTCACGACCCAAGCGGCATCCCACTTCCACAGCATTTGCCACAGTTTGCACTCGTGCTGCATAAGACACGGCATGTGACATGGAAGGCTGTGGATTGGGCAATCAGGACTCCGTGAGCTTTCAGAAAGACCAAGCATGAGATGAGGACCACAAACATTGGAGTGATGGAGTCCCGGCAGCTTCACTGCAACCCTACCTGTGAAGTTAACTCAGCATCCCCAATCATTCATGTGAAATTGGACCCCACCGAGTCTCCTTGTGGAGTCAGAAGCCTCTAAGACAGGGGTCTCAAACTCGCGGCCCGCGGGCCAATTGCTGGGACAGGCAAGGCATGGGGGAGGGGCCCTGTGGCCTTCAAAACACTGGCAGCGCCCGGGCTGGCCTCCGGGAGCAACACGGGATGAGCGGTCCACCACCACCGTGGTGGTGGAATACTTGATGCGGCCCAGCCTCACCCAGACTCTACTTCCAGCGGCCCCCAGGTAAGTTGAGTGTGAGACTCCTGCTCTAAGATGACTGCTTCGAGTAAGCCTTTGTAGCATGTAGGTGGCAGGATACCTGAGAATTTGGGTAGTGAACCTGTGCGCTAGTTTACCATACATTCTCTGAAGCCAGCAATCAATTTGGAACTTAATAGCCAATTCATAATGCATCGATCCAGGCTTGCTACAAAAGTAAGCATTACAAATGAATGAATTTCACCCAATGAGCCAACTAATTACAAAAGTTGGCGGCATCACTAATGCCAACCAGAAAAACGAACAAGGGGGCAGAGAGGCACTGGAGGCAAATAGGTAGCCGGAGAAGAGGATGAGGATTATGGCTGGTAAGATGTCTACATGTTCACAGGAGATTGGACGAAGGTTCTGATGGTGTCCTTCTTAAACTGGATTCTTTCCAAATGAGCCAAGTTGTTTCCCAGTTCTGAGGCAGGGCAGGAAAGCTGAATTATATCAAGTCAATCTGAAGACAGCCAGGAGTGGGATGGACTTCACAGATCACTAGCAAGAATTAAAATCTAGGCATCGCCTAGTGCCACAACCTCACCTCATACTCCTGCTTGAAGCCATAGCCTTCTGCAGTCTTCATCTGGTTGATGTGTTGGAGAAGATCAGCTACTCGAACAGCAGGGTGAAGTTGCCCAGTGTGGTATGGAGAACCTTTGCGCCCACACTGCCTTCGCGGGGAACCCCCTAACAAGCTGCTGGACTCGTTGACAATGCTGCTGCGCTGCTCACCTGAGAATGATGGCACATGTTATGGAAGGTGTGACAGAACAGGAGGAAACATCAGCGCATGGTGCACTCTTGTTTTGCACCACCCAACAGCCAGCCACAATGATGCCCACAATTCAGCTGGAAGTCAGATGCCGGTCTTTGCCTAGAGTGAGCACAAGTTTTCTGCAGGGTTTGGAGCCTTCCACCGATTTTCATAAACACCTTCCATTTGTATGCATACCATTCACACACACACCGTTCCACACACCAATCACACACACCTGTACACCCTATTCTCTCTCCCTCTTTCACACATGCACACGCAAAAAACACACTTACATGGACACACGATTTGTATACCCCATCAATACGCAAATACACAATTTATATAAGCCATCCGCACACATATGTGCACTGTACACATGGACAGGTTTGTTTTGTTTTTTCTGATAGAGATAGCAGCACTGGGGGTTCCAGAGAGAAACAGGGTCTCAGCAAGGTCTCTGCAGGGCAGAGTAGAAGGTCTCAAAGACCTCCCTGGTCCATGAGCCAGAGGTTCCTACTCCCTGCTTTAAAATGGTTTCTGGATTAAGGAGGGAACAATGCAGAAAAGCACTCGAAAGTAATAGCTCCACCACTAGCACCAGTCCACTGTTTCTTCCAGTAGCCAGCACAGAAATGTTTGCATTACCAAAATATAAATTTAATGTTGTGTTTTTAGAAGATTAATGGAGACATTCACAAATGCAGTTTCTTCTATGGGATCAAGTACTGATCTCTATGATAATGGCAGTAATTTTATGCTATTGATGTCAGTGAAGTCCACTCATCTTGAGTGGAATTATCTCAACGTTTCTCTGTATGAGGCTGAACAGGGCTTTTAAGCCAATTATACCGAAAGGGGACAACCCTACAGATACATCCTGGAATGACTATGCATGATCACCAAGCCACAGTTGTGAATTAGCACATCACTGTGGATGCTTGAGTCTTTTCCAGACTCCTGCTCTTGCAACTTTACTTGAGAATTCTAGCAAGTTAAAATAAACTGATAAGTTAATTTTTCCATCTTCTGAACAGTCAAGCTTCAGAGGTTTGCACTTACATTGTACATGCCCTGCCCTTGGAACGTACGTGTTTGTTTTCTCCCCAACCTGGAAATTCTTGGCCAAACTAATGGCGCAAGTCAGGACTCAGGAAAAGAGTTTTTGTTCAGTAAATGATGCACCCTGTATATAATAAAATCAATTTCAGCAATCGACATTGATGCACCAACACAATCCCTGTGCTTTTGACTGCCTCGGCTGAGGAATGCAATGATGCAGGTACAAATCAGGTATAAATACTCATTTAATTTAAATGAAGACCTGAAGACTATTTGCAGGGATCTCATCACGAAATACATTATATATTGTGCACTTTCATATTTCAGCGAAATTAAATCCCTGATATTTTCTAACTTGAGCAGCATTGCTAATTAGAACACCCACATTGCCTGAGAAACACACTGAAAGCAGAGTTGGAAAAGAATCATCCTTGTTTTTAAGGTTGGCCATCCTTTACACTCTTAAATGGGAGTAACTCCTACTGAACTTAATAGGGCTTACTTTTGATTAGACGTATAAAAGTATGCACTGCAAAGTATTTTCAGGGCATCTAATCTGCATTAACTGAACCTGTGAATGCATCCTAACAGCATTTTTAAAAATCCAGTTACATACCCATCTAGACCAACATTCTTTTCAATGAGATGTTTACAGTTGTATTCTATTTACTTTCCTGCCCTCTTTCCTTTCATGGAACTCAAGGCAACTTACACAACTCTCTTCCTCTTCTCAGTCTTATTCTTACAGCAACAACCCTGGTCTGAGCATCTGTGACTGTCCTCAAGTCACCCAGTGAGCTGAGCGGGGACTAGAAAGCTGATCAACTGGCCACCAACACTGGCAACTTTTATGAACAACACCAACACTCCTTTTAAACAAAACCTCGAGAGGAAAAAAATTCTATGATTTAACTCTGTGTTACGTTAAGCATGGCTCCCTCTTTCTGTCCATCCTGAATCTCTGACCATTCAGTTTCATGGGAGGAATAGCTGGAGAAAGAGAAAGTGTTTGCATGCATGTGTGATTTCTCTACATCCACTTTCTCTACCCCATGCATAATTTTATACACTCGCCCTTTATTGGCATTCTAACATTTATAGATTTTCTCAGTTGCTGCTCACATCTTTTTCCTGACTTTTAAAGCTCTTCCTTTCTTCCTCTCTGGGCTTCTCCCCATAACTCCTCTGCATGAGGGAGTTCAGGAATGGTTGCTCTAATGGCATTTCTCGGCAAGAATCCATTCGGGCTCAGCTCCACTGCCTCCGCATCTGCCTGGAAATGCCAGCACATGGCCCGTGTTCTCTGCCCTTTTGCTCATGGTTTCCAGAAGGCAACATGTGCCCTGCTAATTAAAAAGCCCACAGAGACACGCAGACATGTTGAGTGAAATGCACCAAACTCACATCCATAAGGGGACTCAGATTGCACGGCGACCACCACCAACAGGAGACGTGGCCAATGTCCTGCTCCCCATATCAATCCTGGCCTCCAGGAAACCAAAATTCTGCACTCTCCTGGGAGCAGGGACTGTTTTATGCACACCTCTTAGCTGCTTCTTCTTGATTTATTTATTTAAAGTTTTCATATGCCGTCCATTACTAAAAAAAGCCTCTGGATGGCTTACAAGGAACATGGTTTACATAGAAAAACAGTCCAATGCTGGATAGCATAAGCACAGCTTTAATTCTCATGAGCAGTGCTAATCAACCCATAAACAAGTAAGAAACTCATCATGGTACTGTGGTAGAAATATGTAGAAATAACTGGGTGTCCTTTCTTTCCAGTAATGCATACATCCTAACTCAAGATGTAGTGGCACTCTATCAAGCTCTATTTCTGAAATAAATGCTATTGTTAGAGATGGGAGAACATGCAATCCTTGAGCTTATGAAGGTTCTCCTTCATCTTATTTCTGTTTCCACATGTGAATGCCCTTTCCCCCTGATCAGGGAACAGGTACATTTTTCAATTAGCAAAAGGAGCATTATAAAAAGTGGCTTTCCTCTCCAATTTAGAAAATACACCTTTTTAAAAAAATGAGCATTTTTTTCAAATGAACAATGTGCATTCCCCCGCCCTCAACACACTTGGCTAAAGTACAAAATGTGATGGAGAGGAATTTGCACAAATGTGCATTAATGCAAGAGTGCCTTTTTGAGCACAAATGCAAGTTCATGAAATGATGGAATTTCCTGCACATTGTTTTCTCCCTTGTGTTCACTTTCAGGGTTGTGAGCAGGGAATGCTCACCTAATTTGCAAGGAGGAACAAAACTATTTTATACTCCTAATTGCATTTTCACTGCTACAGACAATGATTCCTAAACTATGTTACATGAAAGCAAACACACACACAGTTCCTCAGGGTTAGATGTAGTGTAACATCTAACAAAGGTCCTAGTGACTAATCAGCTATTAGAAATAGGACGCTGCCTCTATTGCCATACGCTTCCTATACTATCTGACAACATCCATTCAGAGCTTCATGGTTCTTTCCAGGTGATGCCGCAGATTAGACCTGGGACCCTCTTCATACAAAGCACATTTTCCACCATGGAGCTGAGCTATAATTCTTACCCATGTGCTTGAGCTGTGCCCTTTCCCTAGGTGGCTAGAATGGAAACAGGAACCTTTCCGTCAGCTCATGTGACCACCTGAGTAAAATCTTCCACTACTACCACTTTTTAAAGACATCTTGCATTATGCCACCCAATCCACAGCAACAGCCTCAAAGGAAAAGAGATGGAGGGAAAAAGCCAAAATACTGTTCAAGAAAGTTCCTCCCCGTCACCAGAGTCCATTAAGTTTTGATAAAGACGCCAGATTGAAATGCGTTGTCAATGTCACCTCAAGAAGGTGCCCATGTCCATTTTTAAAAGTCTTTCTGGTGATAACTCTTGCCAGGGCATCGTTGGAAAAAGTGCATGATGCAGCAATCTGGCCAAAGCTAAGTAAGCCTGGGCCTGGTGATTAGCTGGATGGAAGATTGCCACTTAGGAAACCTAAATGTGAAACCTTAAGGTCCATCATGGAAAAATGTGTGAGCTATGAAACTAACAAACAAAGAACATAATAACTGGTTGGCTTTGTTCTTTCTCCACCCTAACCCAAGTCTGGTTTTCCTCCTGCCAGATAAAGAAAGCTTGAGCATCTCTGTTCCTCTCTTTTGCTGTGTGCAAGTGCACTGGGGATTTTTGGTTGGCGTAATTACATTATAATAAAGGTATTTCAGCAATGTGGAATTCTGCACTTTACTTATGGTCCATCCCACTACCTTTGGTCTTTGCGAGACTTGCAGATAAACATGGTTCCAGCTCTGACCTCACTGCAGGGTCATTTTGGGGCCATGGGTATAGGTCCACCTTTTTGACATCACACGCCAAGTTTCCACAGGAACAAAACAGGCCAGCAAATGTCAGGAGCTGGATTTCCTTTCTCATTTAAGGCTGATGTCAAATTAGGGACAAGCCTGCAGCTTTCAACCCAGCACACAGAGAAAGAGGCCATAGGCCCTCTGGCAAGCATTTCAGAAAACTCCCTTTCCCACAGGCCTCCAAAGAACAAGGTTAAACCCATTGCCAGCAAAAGCAGGTGCCGGCACATCACATTCAATAGCTCATAAAGAAACAGCAGCAAATTTGGGCTGAAAGCTCTCTGATGCTCACAGAAGACAAATGGTTCATAGGAGCCAGTCTTGTTAAGAGCATACTAAGGAATGGCAATGATGCAGGCACTGAAATAAAATAATAGTCCTGCATGGATATATAAAAGAGGGAAACTCTTGCCCTCTGGGATTCTATTATCTGCAAGACAATGGTACAAACCATATTAATCTCGCAGTCTGTAGAGGGAATACATCCATAGGCAGCATCTTGAAGTTTCACTAACAGATGTTATTAGCATATGGCTGAAACTGGGGCACAGAAAGAATTGCTCTACAACTAAATCAGTGTAGAAAGGCACTCGCTGGTGTGAAATTATTAGTCTCAGCCTATCACAAGAAATGTTGCCCCATTAACTCTTTAGGAGTTAAACCACAATGGCTCAGGTGCAGGGAAAAGTCAATGAGGGAGGAACAGCCATGAGAATTGCAAGAAGTCTATGTCCAGAAGGGGTTTTACTATTTTTGGTTGGTGTAATGGCATTATAATAAATATGAAATTATAATGAAATATCCCCCTTCTGTGCAAGTGCTTTGCCTATCAATTAATATTCAGGTTTGGCCAAATATCCCTGCCCATATCCCTGAAAATGTTTTGTATGGGTGGATTGAAATTTCAGCTAACTGAAGTACAAAGTGCCTGGGGCCTTATTCCTGCTTCTTTGATCAATTAAAAAAGCCTTGTGGCCAGATCAAGATGACCTTGGGAACAGAAGGCCCCTTCAGACCAGGGTTTGGCATAGCACATTGCCCATGTTATTGTTATTATTATATAATACATTTATTAAATGCTTACCTGCTGAGGACAGTCCAAGCCTGAGACAGAGAATGAGATGGTGCCACCCCATCCCACCCCCGTTCTGTGCCCAGAAGCCATTGCAACTGGATTGGCAAACAAATCCATATTCAGCCCTAGCAATCAGACTATTCTCTTCATCGTTTCAGTCTGTACGCACATGGGCTCAGGTAGGCATGTGGAGTATTTTGTGCCTGCTCACAAATCCAAATCTCAGTGCAAGAGGAGAATGCATTCACCAAAAATGTTGACAAAGTTGATCTGTGAACACTGCCCCTTTGTATTTTGTACGCCTTGCAAGAAGTTCAAATCACCTGCATTTTACTCTCTGGGAGAAAGCTGCACAAAATGTTGCATGATTCTGTCCATCTTTGTCTGCTGTGGATCAACCAGGTCTTCAACAGGAGCACCAGCCAGGTTGGCTGGAAAATCTCCCAGAGTCATTTGGACATCAGTGGGACCCAAGAGCCTCCAGGGGCAGGCCCTCTTAAGTAGCCCCCTGACTCTAACCTAAAACTTAGGAGGAAGTGATCTGACCATAATGTGGGATTGCTCATTAACCCTCCCATTTTCAGCTCATCCTTTTCCTGCCATTCTGAGTACTGCATATCCAGGATTTTAAAAAAGTAACAATAATCACAGCCCACTTTTTTGCTTTTAAAAAAATCTGAAGCCACTCATGAGAAAAATTGTCCATTAAACCCCCCCCCCCCCTATACTAGCAGCCATCAAAGGGGTTCAGGCACAGTGGAAACTCATACAATTCAGCCTGGATATGAGGCAATCTACTTCACTCCTCCAAACGCCTTCTGAAATGAACAGGGGTTAGCACCTTGGTGAAAAGGGTTAGAAGGCAGATGCCAAGACCTCTCAGGAGAGGAAACTCTAGCTCAAAGGGGCAGTGTCCAAGCACACACGGTTGCACAATAAAAAGCATATGGAGGATGCAGCAGATTGATCCAAGATCAGATTTGCACTGGCACCAAAAATTGCACAGAGGAGGTTGTTCTGCCATTATCCTTCCCATCTCCAGCTTTCATCTATGATTGGAAGTACTGGCACTCAAGGCCAGCCAAAAGCCAAACAGAACCTGACACTCTGGTTCCTCTGCCATACCTGAGGATAATCAAGCATATTCAAGATAGCAACCACAAGGCTTTCTCTGAACTTCCCATGGGAACAAAACACATCAAGTAGAGGGGCTAGGTATATGCCAGACGATCTGCCCCAGATCAGCAAAATGCTCTGACTAGTTCCATCCTCCTCACTAATGCAAGGAAAGAGGGAAGGCAGAATTAAAGTTTAAGTCAAAACTGTAACTGCATGCAAGCTGAGACAAGATACTGCTCCAGCAGAACTGATGCAGGTCATAAAGTTCATTGGTTTCTGCACCAAAGCATATTTCCACCTAGCCCTGCATTCCAAATAAAGAAGATTGCAAATTATTCGGGTAAAAAGCAGTAAGATAGTCACAATCTAAGCAGAGATCAGGTGGGGTTGAGCAAAATGTGTGCCAAATATGTTCAAAGATGGAAACCACATGTTCTTTTTAGTAAATATCTATCCAGGAACATGGCATACTTCCAAAATAAATAAATAAGCATTGGCCATTCTTAATCCAGCTATGCCAATCAATTATTTGACCCCAGGATTGTAAAGCAAGACCTTGGAATAAAATTGTCCAGGACACTTCAAAACCAGCACTTCTGCGTATTTATTTCAGATCTAAACCATGAAGTTCAAATCTAATTAACAGGAAAACAAAAGACCTGTCGTGTACCTCAATACACATTGTCCAAATACATTTTCATCGCCTTCTCCTGCTGCCACTGCATACCGCTCAGGCTTTGATCAATCAATATTTACCCATATTCATAAACACAAGGTAAACTGAACAAGCTCATATCTCTGTAGATACAGGTCTGGAATTTCCTGCATATCATAATCCACTTGCCCAAGGCCAATGCTAAAGCTGCAGGGTAGTTGTCCTGTAATCACATTATAGTTGTAGCCTTGCTTGGACCACCTGACTGCAAAGATAAAGCACAGTTCTAGGAGCAGACTGCACCGAAGCAGAGGCACCCTCTGCCAGCATCTGCAACATGAAACGGCTATACAGCTCATCTGTTCATTTCATCACCTGTTCAATGGCTATAGACCCTGATACAATAATATGAAACTCGCTGGATGCTCCAGGCATTGCTAAACAAGGGAATGCAGAATGTGTTCCCCGGCCACTTCTGCAGCCCTGCTGAGTTGCCTCCTGTCCTCCCAAGATTCAGTGGTGCAACAGCTGCAAAGAATTCTGCACCTTTACTGCTCGACAAGGCAAGCAGGAGAGTACAGCTTGTTTACATCAAAATTCACTCTCCCGAGGCTTCAGAGAATGCAATTTTGCTTTAAAACCAGGGGTGGGGAAGGACTCTCTGTGCACCTTGTTTAATAATAAATTCACTCCATTTCTGCCACTGCACCAACAAATTTCAGCAATGCATTTGATGGCATAGCAGCAATTCCATGGAAGGTACAACCCTGGCTCAGTTCCCAGAGGAGGGAAACTAGCCCCAAAAGTTGTCAACCCCTGCTAGAAACTCTCATTTGGTGGTGTGTGAATGAGCATTTTCTCCTTTCTTGGAAATATCCCAGAGTCAGGCAAATCCCCACATGACCCTAGTAGCTACAGTCCTGTCTTGCTAGCTCTCTTGTCTTCTTTAATCATCTCATCGTAGTTTCACAACATCCTAAAAGGTCAGAGGAAGCCCACATCACTAACGCCATCACTGTATCCCTCAAGAGAGAAATGACTTGAAGGAAAGCAGATGTGAGAGGGCAGCTACAGATAGCGTGAGACTGAGCCATATTTCAGCAAGTGAGAGAAGATGGATGGGGCTAAAGAAACAGGCTGTGCATCCACGACAGATCAGACATTGCAGAAAAAGGTGAGAAAAGAAAGCATATGAACGAGGAACAGGGTTGGGGGAGAGAAGTGGGCAAAGTCACACCAAGTTGTTACTGAAGTGGCAAACAAATACCTGAATTGCTGCAAACATTCAAAAGAGATGATTACCAAAGCACCCCTGTTCGAATGCCTGTTTATTTGCTTTTTGTGAAACCAGCCAAGGTCATTTACAAAATGTTCACTTTTTTTTAAAGTTGTGGAATGAAAACATTGTAAAGCATCGAAAACAAACTTCAAAACCACCACAACTATTTCAGAAGCCAAGCTTAAAGAAAAATATCTTGGCACCTTTCCTGATTGGCCATAAAGAGAGTGGAGACCAGATTCAACTCCAAAGAGAGGTAGCTCTAGAGTTTGGAAGCCAGACTGGGGAATCCCTTCTCTGGGTGGCCCGCAAGTGAACTTGTGCAAGTGAGGGTGTCTTAAAGGGTTTCTTCTGCTGGTCCTACTGCGCAGAACCATGCTGAGATAGGTGGATTCCTCAGACAGCCGGGTCTTAAGTTATGCAGATCTTTCCAAGCCAAAGCCAACACCTGGGATTAATGCTGCCTCCAGTCTCTGAAGACCTCTGGGCAAGACACGCTCAGTGGATCCATTCCGTTGTACATGCTACTCTTTCCCACCGCTATTGTTGCCCAGCCCAGTGAGAGGCAAGGGGACGAGGATGCTGCAGTGCTGAAGAGGAGGAGCATCCCCACAGGGTGGTTGCCATTGGGCCCTCACTGGGGTGTGGTTACCTGGCAGGTACCCTTCCTTGCCTGCACTTGACAGCGCCCCTGCTCTAAATGGTGGGAAATGCTGTGCAGTATCAAGGCAAGCAGGGCTGTGCTGGCCTCCACACTGTGCAAGCCACCAACATCCTCACTGTACTTCTGCCCTGCCATTCCGGGGCCCAGTACTTTACCTGCAGTGGTCTGGAAAGCAACAGGGATACAGGCACTCTGTCCCCTCTGGGTGAAAACTTGTTTTCTGCTAGGAGATGGCCATTAAAAAGGCCTCTCTCTCTCTCTCTCTCTCTCTCTCTCTCTCTCTCTCTCTCTCTCATTCTCTCTATCCCAACCAGGAAGGATGTAATGGCCCACAGGCAAGAGATCTGATGCCCTACCAAGAGATTGGTCTGCTGCCTTTGCAAAGTCCTTGCAGTGATGTAGTACTGACTAAATTAGAAATAAAATCCACATTCCCCTTGAGCATACATTCCACTGGCTTATCCTGGGCAGAGAGAATGGAGCTGAGAGCCAACCGACTTACTGCATCTGTTTGCTCAGAGCTTACCTCTGTTGCTGTAGTTGTGTCCATCCATGAAGGACAAACCCAGTCTTTCGTCCTCCTGGAGGGTACTTTGGTCAGTGAAGCTCCGATCAATTGCACTCATCATATGTGTCTTCTCGTTGCGGTAGTTAATGGTAGCTTTAGCCATGTTGACAGGTTTCCTGGTACAAAGAGGGGAAGTAGGATTTATTAGATTAAGGGATCCATTCAGGGTGCCCCTCTGCAAGTTAGGTTTATGAAAGAGAAGAGGAGAGGAGATGGGAGGTGATGAGCTCTGCAGTGGGGGTGGGTAACCTATAGTGCTCCAATGATCTGGTCTACAAATCACGTAGGTCATGGTGAGGAATAATGGAAGCTGTAGGCCAAAATATCTGGAGAGCCAGAGAATGTCCACTGGGGCTTATTGTGTCATGTACAGTGTATTTCATGGCAGTTGACACATCATGCCCCCTGACTGTTTTCAGATTAGGTCAACTACATATATATAACTTCACTATTACTGATATTTGCATAAAATGCCATATCCAAGTACGGGATCAAACTGAGCTCCCTCTTCACAGCTTCATGGTTTGAGATATTCAGTTTGGAATCCTCTACACCTTTCAACTGCTTCACAAAATTAATATTAGTGCATTTCCTTTGTTTATGCCATGCCTTTCTTACATGGCATTTGAGGAGGCATACGCAGCCTTTCCAGGATGTCGCCCCTCAAACACTAGACAGGTCTTGCTGCTTCAGTGTGTACAACGAACACTGAAACCTGCTGCTAAATCCAGTGCCAAAATAACGTTTCGAGCTGTGGCACTTCCCATCCCAGGCACCCCCTTGTGAGGCTGATTGGTGCCTCCTTCTCTTTGGTCAACCGTCCAACTGCAGCAGAGTACCAACATCCATCTCACACAGTTTCATTCTGGTGAGAGGAGGTGGGACAAAGCTACTGACCTATAAGTTAGGGGGATGATATTCAAATGCTCTTTCCTGGTAACCCACTTGTTCTCCAAGCACCAACCTCCTCCCCACCTTCCCTAAAGTTCCAGGGTCGTGACTTCCATGATGCCGAGTATCTCTACTGAATTGGGGAAAGGAAGGGAAATTATAAGCCAGCATTCTCCTGTATGCATTTTAGTAATAGGTGGGATTTCATACAGGGCCGTCTACATGCTTACATTAATAGCTGTCGAGATTAAAAATAGTGTGCCAATCAAGATCACAGGATAGAAGACTATTACAAAGGAGGAGGACAAAATACTTCTCTCTAACCGTATTTTTCACATCACCCACAGTTGCTTTTCAGCAAAGACAAATGACAGATTCTGCTCCAAGCAATCAAGTGCTAAGAAATCATGAGATAGGATATCAGGTGATGGACCCTGCTGCACGTGTGTGACCTGCCCCCTGATTTCAACATAGACATGCTCAGCACCACTGGTTCCAGCATCATCACCCAAGTGAATTCTGGGATAGATGCTCAAGGGGTGTTTTGGGGCTTTGAACTGATGTGCTGAAGTGTCCTGCCCTTGGCTTTCTGCGCATTCATCCGGCCTTCACCAATCAAACTTGGCAGTGATACTATGAAGCCACTGAGAGGACGAGGGCCACTTTAGCACATGCTGAAGAAGAAGGACAGAACCAGGTTTCACATGAGGTTCTGGTCTGCCCCATGTGCATGAATTTAAAGAAAACCCAATGCACATAGACCCAGCTTGGAAGGACAGACTCTCGGATGGGATGAGCTCAAATCACCCATTCAGGATTTTATTACTATGGGTTGTATTTGAATATTATCTTCTGATAGAGACACCAGAAGTTTGTTTGTTTTTTAATGTAAAGGGTTCTATTAATTAGCAAAACAATTCAGAGAAGATCCCAATTATGCCCAAAGGGTCATAAGTGAGGTAGGAAGGACGAGATGAGCCAAGGGAAGCGCCCATATTTTCCCCCCAAGAATTCCTCACAAATGGTCATAACTATCCCACTGTCATTGCCAAGGGCGTCTGAAGCTTCAGCTGCAAAATAAGCATGAGAAGGTCACAGCTTAGATCATTCAAAAGTTCAGCGGGGTGTCGGAGGAAACCGCTTTGCCATATTTTTAGAAGTGGAAGGATGCCCTTGACCCTGCAAAAGCTCCCAAAATGTTGCTTAACTCCTGGATGGACAAATAATTCCAAGGAAATGTGTGATGACATTTGACATAACTTGAGGCTGAGCTGGAAAGAGAGATTGGCTCATCAGACAGTATTAAGCCCTGAATTTAAGTTGTATACACTTAAATTTTATTTTACAAACAAGTATTTAACTTCTGACTCTTTTGGATAATGTCCAACCCCTGACATCCCACAACCACCACAAAACGGCCAGGCACTGGTCTGCTTTGGGCATGTTGGGGAAATCTGCAATGGATTCGAATGAGGGTTGATATTTGTGAAACTGATCAATGGATTCCTGAGCAGACTGGCTTTTTCTGAGTTGCATTAACTCTACCGAATATGAAGCAGTTTTAAAAAAAATTACAGTAAATGCACATTACTGTAAGCATGTATCAGTGGTAATGCATGTCCATTTACATGCAGACAGGAACAAAATGCGTGCACATTTCTAAAAATAATCTGATTCCATCCATGAGATACGACCAAATGAAAAATGCCTGGCAAGCTGCAAAACACGGTCAGAATGGAACAGATGGAATGGAATCTGCACGTCCTGAGTCTTCTCATTCAGGAAGAGCAGGATTTGGAACCTTTGTTCCATGGACCTCACCCTGTCCATGGATGTTTGTGTCACTTCTGTGGGCCCAACCTCCTTGGCTGTGCAACAGGAAGAGGCAGAGAGAACCCCCCCTCCCCACTGACATCATGGCTCAGAGATCACAGAGGAGGTTCCCCTGGATGCCCTCACCTTCCCATCTGGGAGTGGTATTATTGCACAGGTGATTCCTTGGGAAGGTTGAGGAGCAGAATCCCCATGACCCTCTCCAATCACAGATCAGCTCAGGCTTCTCCAAGTTTCACTGTACATGGACTTTCCCAGCCAGGAAAATCATGCTATGAAGTCAAGTCAGCCGTGCCCACTTTCCTCCTGCAGTGCAAGAGCAAAGGATGCTCTGCCAGTCCAGCATCTTCCACCCCACCTCCTTCCCAAGAAGAGAAGGGATAGGGAAGGCAAAGGCAGGCAAAGGGGACCAAGCCAGCTCATCTTCACCATGTGCAATGCTCCTCTTCCTAGCAGGAGTGAGTGCAGCGAAGCCTGGACCTTGGTCCAAGCACTGGATGAACGATCCATCCAGCTCGTCAGCCCAGAGACAAATGACATCACATAAACATGACCACATCCAACGACATCAAGGGGGGTGGCCATGCCCACCTGACTTCATACAGCCTGCTGGGAGCTGAGGCTAGGGTGCTGGGTCCATCAATACCACCCTATCAATGTAATGTAGAACCAGTCAAAAATGTTTTTGTCTCACTATCTATGCTGCTATATTTTCAGATTAAACACCCTCTTTCTAATTGCTTCCATTATTTCCCCCTTCTTGATTTATGAAAGATTGCTCTCCTGGAAGTGGATCAACTAGAAGGAAAAATTCCCCTGTGGAAAATTACACTGGCAGTGGACTTCTTCGATAAGAAAATGTAATTTCTAATAAACATCATTTTCCTCTCACTCTTAATAGGCATTTTAGGAGAACTGCAGTGAAAAGATGTGGGGGGCATCATTGCTCGGAGATTTTAGCAGCCCTCCCATCTGGCACAGGAAAATTGCTATTGCTCTAGCAAAATTACTATTGCTTCCTTGATTCTTTCAGTATACTCAATGAATACAATAGCCTTTGCCAATGCAGCACTATGCAGATGAGCTATGGTTCCCATCATCCCCAGACAGCATGGCCAGTGGTGAGGGGACCTGTCACCCTAAGCCTCTGCAGGACAGCATGATGGGGAAAGTGGCACACAAATTCCAAGTTCCTGCATTGTGATGCTGCATTTTTCCATGAATTATACTATTGACTATTTTAAACATGATTTTAAGTGTAGGCATTACTGATTATCACAAAGACAACTCAACAGAATGTGTCTTTTGCTCCAACAATAGGCCAGAAAAAAACACTTCTGATTCCATTCTTGATTATGCAGAATTCGAGATGGGAAGCATCAAGGTGATAATAGGATGACGGAATCATAAGAATGCATCCAAAGAGCTAAGTAGCATGTAACCTTAACTGCACAGTTTTGACCTCGAGTACAGAGCCTCCCACCACAAATCGCCAGCGATCAGGATTCCTACCCAAACATGGTTCATGGACTACAACTCATATCCCATTGCTGTCACAGCCCCAGTCCAGGTCTGGTCAGCCATGCCTGCAACCAGCATTGGGAAAAAGAGTTTCCAAAGAAATGAAACAGACCTTTTCTTTGCAGTGCAAATTGCAAACATGGAGCAGGGGGAGTATGGATGATCCAGACTGGGATTGCAATGGGGGGAGTGAATAATTAAAGCCCACCCCCATAACTCCCATCCTGAGTGGGTGGTTTTAGTAGGGGCACTATACTCAAGAGTGGAACTGTGCAGTTAAAGTCACTTGGTTTTTAAAAGGTTGCTAAATATTCAAGGTATAGTAAATTTCCCCTGTTCTGTTCATTGACTGCTTCTCTCTGCCATGCCCCTGAGTCCTCCTGAATTCTGGTTTATCCTGGATTAAAGTTAAATTCTGGAATAGATTTGCTGCCTCTTTCAGTTCCTTCCATTCATTTGCATCTCCCTTACTCTCTGTGCCATTAATATACTTATGCTATTAATGTACACTACTAAACACAGCAAAAAAGCATAGAGAGAATACAAGTGGATGCAAAATCAAATAGTTTGCATTTGTGGTGCTTATCAGTGCAAAAAAGAACGCATGAGTGTTCATTAAACACTGTACAAAAATAATCTTGGTCCAATGAAACAAGCACTCGTATGATGATTCCATTTTTGTAGTGTTATATTAATCACTACTGTGCTAATAACTTTGGAAAATTCCAGTAGAGGAGAATTACAGCATCATCAACTCACACACTTGATGGAGTGTTCATTTTTAACTCAATAGTATTGTGACTGTGTTCTATCATGTTCAAGTTTGAGGAAGAGCTCTAGAAGAGGCATTTCAACCTTTTGGACGGGATCA